AGAGGGAGAGAGGGAAAGTGAGATAGCAAACCTCCAGATCTGGGATTCAAACTGCAGTTAGTTATGTGGGAGTCCAGCGTCCTTAACTACCACACCACTTGCCGGCCCCCTGGCATGAGTCCCGCCCCCCACAGGTCCAAGTCTCAAACCATGATTGACTATGTGAGGGTCCAGTGACATAACCATTATACCATCTGCTGATCCCATTAGTAGTTTTTTTTTTTAGAGATTTTTGCTATAGGGCACGGGCGTTCATTGGAGAGACAGGGAGAGACAGAGAGACAGAAAGTGATGAATCACCCCTCCAGCAGGGATGATCATGCCCCAATTCCCTTTCCTCCATTCTCTTATTATATTAGGCATGCACACACATGTGCCCAGCATGAGTTTTAAGCTGCGGGGTGCGGGATTTGAACCAAGAAAGACTACATAGGAGTCCAGTGATGTAACCATTATGCCATCTGCTGGTCCTCCATTAGTAGATATTTAAAATTAACATGTTGAGAACTCTACTCCCAACTTTGCCCCCACACCTGTTTCTCCTAAAGCCCGTCGTGTCTTGGCCTTTCCAGTTGTTCAGGCCTCAGGCCTTGGAATCACCCCTCATTCCTCTTTCTTATTCTGTCCTTACACTCCACCTAGCATTTCATCTACAAATTCTGTTAGCTCTGCCATCTGAACACACCCCAAATATGGTTACTTCTCCTCCACAACTCGCACCCTAGCCCTGCCTACTGCTGCCTTTTACAAGAACTGTTGCGCGGGGGCCAGCACGTAGCATGGTGGTTAGGGCGCTGGACTCTGACATGGCCTACCATGGTTTGATTACCAAACCTGGTGCCCTGCTTTCTTGCTTTCTCTTTCTCTGCTCAAATTTTAAAAATAAACAAAAAATTCAAAAAAGAAAAAAGAACTGTTGCACGAGAGACAGTGGAGGTCAGGTGTTTGAGAACACAGGCTCTGAAGCCAGCCCGCTAGGGTCAATCTCACATATATATATTTAAAATTATTTTACTTAAATTTATTAATTTTTTTTCTTTTTTTGGAGAGGTTTTTGCTAATGGGTGCGTGCGCTCGCCAGATAGACAGAGAGAGACAGAGAGACAGAAAGCGAGAAATCAGCCCCCGGGGGGATGGCCACGCCGCAATCCCTTCTCCTCCATTCTCCTCTCGGGATGTTGGGCACGCACGCACATGCGCCCGGCGTGAGTTTAAGCCACCGGGTCCGGGACTCGAACCGTGGTCGACTACGTGGGAGTCCAGCAACATAGCCATTATGCCAACTGCTGGTCCCTATTTATTAATTTTTAAATTTGACCACAGAGGGACAGAGTGAGAGAAACTGAAAAAGAAAGCCTCCAGGTCCAGAACTCAAATCATAGTCAGCCACATGGGAGTCCAGCACCTGTAAGCACCATGCCACCTGCTGGCCCAATCTCACACCTAATCCCTAGTGGAGTGACCCTGGACAAATTAATCTCTCTGGGCCTCAGATTGCCCTATCTGTGGAATGGAGAAAAGAAAAGTCCCTAGACCTTGGTGAGGATTAAGCAAGACAATACTTGTAAAAGGCTTAGAGCCTGCACTGAGTAAGTGCGCTATGAATGTTGTTGACCGTCCTGTCTGTGACCCGTGCTGATGAGGAGGAGCTGGAGGGCCTGAGTGAGCATAGACAGGTGCCTGGATCTGGTGTGTAGGAGAGGATTTTCCTGAGGAGCTGACATGTAGGCCCTAACCTCAGCTATGACACTGCTTGTGAAATAAACTCTCAAGCCTCAGACCAGCAGGTGGTATGGTGGTTAAGGCACTGGACCCTCACATGGCTGACCACGGTTTGAGTCTTGGACCTGGCAGCTTGTTTTCTCACTTTCTCTTTCTTTCTCTCTCAGTCTGGTCAAATTTAAAATTAATAGTAACAAATAAAATAAATAAATATTAAAAAATAAAACTGTCAAGCCTAGGAGTTAGGATTCTGCCGTAGCTTCTGACCCACCAGCTTGGGCCCCAAATCTGCAATCACTAGGTCAATCTTAACATCATCTTGGTCCTTCTCTGCCCTCATCTGATAGATTTGCTCCACCACTGAAACCATCTAGAATCCAACCATTTCCCCCTCCTAGTCTGGCCTTCACTCTCCCTGTCTGGCTTATCACAGCAGCCTCTTCCCCGGTCCCTCCTCGGTCTGTTTTTCACACACAGACACAGAGGCCCGGTGACACCGAGTTAGACCACAGCCCATCTATCTCAGTGCTATGGGGACAAAACATGAAGCAATCAATGCGGAGCCTGGAGGGAACTGGTCGTAGCCCGTTTGCCCCACATGATCTGGCCTGTTTCTCTCAGCCCTCCCTCTCCACCTCTGCCCCTCAGTAATCCCCAAGCTGGCACCTCAGCTTCCCTGGCCTTCCTTGAGCATGCTAAGCACAATCATGGCCTTTGCAAGATACAGCGTTTTGCCTAGAAGATTCTTCCCCAGTCTCTGCATGGACTCTGCTCAGATATGTTCCCAGTGAGGGCTTCTTTGTTTACCCTGAAGTTCTCATCCCTCAATACTCCTCACTTTCCTTGACTTTTCCCCTCCATAGCACTCAACAGCTCCCAACATACTACGTAGTTTTCCATCCAGTGCGGTACTGCCTAGCCCCCAAGTTCTCAAGTGAGCCTGTGGAGGGAGATCGCCGTCTGCCTTGCTCATTGCGGGATCTCCAATGGCCACAACAATGCCCACCCAGGCATGTGTGCTGCCTGAACCAAAGGCAGTCTCAGCTGGGACAGACAGGATGGCAGGAGTTCCCCAGGGAAGGAAGACACTCGCAAAGGGAAAAGGGCTCGCAGAAGAACAAGGAGCACAGCAAGGCTCCCTCCCTCACCGCCCCCTAGGCGTCTCACTTTTCTGAAGACTCACCAGCCGCTTTGCCCAGAGTGGCAGCTTGCCATTGGTCAGCAGGCACTGGGGATCTGGAGAGACACACAGAACCCATGAGAAGATAACCCAGTAGACAAATGGACGGCATACACCAACAGGCAGTACTCCAAAGGAAGCGAGAGATCAAAGATGCTCAACCTGTCAGGCAAATGCGAATTTCAACAATGAGACACAATGTGTTTTTTTTTTTTTTTTCTTTTCTTTGGACAGGTTTTTGCTATAGGGTGTGTGCGCTCGCCAGACAGACAGAGACAGAGAGACAGAAAGCGAGAAATCACCCTCCAGGGGCTCCAGGGGGGATGGCCATGCCACAATCCCTTCTCCTCTATTCTCCTCTCGGGATCTTGGGCCCTCACACACGTGCCCAGCGTGAGATTTAAGCCACTGGGTCCGGGACTTGAACCGTGGTCAACTATGTGGGAATCCAGCAACATAGCCATTACGCTAACTGCTGGTCCCGAAACACACTGTTTTACTCTTAAGACTGACCAAGATTAACACGCTTACTATAACTTGGGCTGACCCTGTAACACAGTGGTTAAGTACTGCATGTAGGGAGCTGGAATCCGTGGCTGATAGTGGTTTGAATCCCAGCTCCGGTGTTCTAAAAAACATACTGGACTGGAGCCAACAGGTGGTGTGGTGGCTAAGGCTGACCATGTTGACCACAGTTCGAGCCCTGAATCTGGTGGCTTGAAAATTATGCAGGGTATGAGTGAGTACATACTCCAAATCCCAAGAGGACAATGGAGGAGAAAAGATTGTGGCATGGCTATGCCTCTGGGGAGTGATTTCTCACTTTCCCTCTCTGTTTTTCTCTCTTTCTCTACTGAACACATGTGCCCTAGAGCAAAAACCTAAACATAAACAAAGGCTTAATACTACCAAATGTTGGGGCAAAAAATGTGAGGAACAGAGTGTCTTATGGGTGGAGCAGTAACTGGATTTGGAGAGCTCTTGGGATTCTCCTTGAAAATGAAAAATGCAGGCAAGCAGGTAGCATGGTGGTTAAGGCGCTGGATCCCACATGGCTGACTCCATGGTTCAAGTCCTAGAGCCAGAGGCCTGAAACATGCTGAGTGTGTGTGCATGTGTGCCCAAAATCTGGAGAGGAGAATATAGGAGAGGGGCTGCTGGTGTGACCAACCCCTCTAGGGGGTAATTTTTTACTTCCCCCCTCTCTCTGTCTCACTCTAGTATGTGCTCCCTATGGCAAAAAAAAAAAAAAAAAAAAAAAAAAATCTAAAAAAATAAAGTGCTAGCCCTCAGAACTCAGTAGCATAATTCCTTAGTCTCTGTCTTGGAGAAACACTCTCACAAGAGCCAGTCGCTGTGATTGGCCAGGAGAGAGAATGACGGCTCTCATGCCCAAAGACAAGGCCTAGGAGAGGTCTGCTTAGCCTCATTTACAGCCGTAGCACACACTTAGAAATAAAACACAACTTAAAAACTACTTGGTGCTGATTAAAAACAGGGAGGCCTCTGCTTTGCATCCACCAGCATGCAGGTGGGTGAGGCTGTTGAGAGAACAAAGACATGGAAGGACATTTGCAATACAATGCAGCTACGGACAGAGGTAACACAAGGTGCTTCCTATGGCTATGGCTGTGTACACAGGTACGTTAATGTTCAGAAAAAGGTCTGTTAGAATTCATACCAAACTTGGGACTAGCAGGTGGCATGGTGGTTAAGGTGCTGGACACTCCCACATGGCTAATCAGGGTTTGAGTCCTGAATCTGGTGGCTTGCTTTCTCACTTCCTCTCTCTCTCACTCTCAACCTCTGTCTCTCTCTGGTCAAATTAACAAATAAATGAATAAAATAAATAAAATAAATAATTATAAAAAAAAAAAAAGAATTCATACCAAACTGGGACCAGAACCAGCAGATGGCGTAATGGTTGTGTCACTGGACTCCCCTGTAGTCAACTGTAGTTCGAGTCCTGGACCCAGTGGCTTAAACTCAGGCCAGACACATATGCACGCATGTCCAAGATCCAGAGAGAAGAATGGAGGAGACAGGATTGCAGTGTGGCTGTCCCCTCCGGGGGGTGATTTTTCACTTCCTGTCTCTCTGTCTCTCTGGCAAGAGCACATGCCCTATAGCAAAAATCTATTAACAAAAAAAAATAAATAAAAATTCATACCAAACTGGGACCAGCAGATAGTGTAATGACTATATCACTAGACTCCCATGTCGTCGACCACAGTTCAAGTCCTGGACTCGGCATCTTAAAATTCACACCGGGCGTGTGTGCATGCATGCCTGAGATCCTAGGAGGAGTGTGTAGGAGAAGGCATTGTGGCATGGCCATCCCCCGGGGGTGATTTCTCAGTTTCTGTCTCTCCAGTAAGTGCATACATCCTATAGCAAAAATCTCTCTCTTAAAAAAAAATAATTCATACCGAACTAATAAAAGTGGTCAGTCTGGAGAGGACAGTCGATTGGGTCTGAGAGTGGTGACAATGTGTCACATTGGAGTCCCCAGGATTGAATCTTCATTGTGCTGTTGCTGACCAGTCAACCGTCCAGCCAGACCCTGCCTGCTTCTCTTTTGACGGGAGAGCCCACCTCCACCCTATAAAACACCCAGTGCCGGTCACTCTTCCCAGCCTTTTGCAGCTAGAGGCAGCGTGGCCTGAGGGAAGCCTGGGACCTGAGGGAAGCCTGCCAGGACTTCTGGGGAACAGCTTCCTCTTTAAAGACGACTCTCAGGAGTGAATGTCTCTCCACTTCAAGCCATGTTTCTAAAGCCTGGAACTTAAGCAGCTATCTTACAACCATGAAAACTTATGCAAAGGGACTTTAAAAAAAATGCCAGAGGGCACTTGCACTCAGTGGAGAGAGACAGTGTGTGTGGGAGTGGGCAGGGAGGGGATGGTGGTGGTGGCAGAGAAAGCACCCCTCCCATAGGAGATGGTCATGCAGCAATCTGCAATCCCTTCTCTGCTCTTCCCTCCTTTCAGAGGTTTGGACATGTATGCACACATGCTTGGAGTGTTTTTCAAGCCACTGGGGTTGGAACCATATAGCTGGCCATGCGAGATCCGGGTTCCTTAACCACTATGCCTCCGGTTGACCTCAGAGGCTTTACAGAGCCTGGCCTTCCATAGAGTTGCTGAGTTACTACTCTTTCTTTTGCCTTAACAACAGAATCTATTCTGTCTTCGGGTTAAGAGCACCCAGGACATTCCCTTACACCCCCAACTTCGGTCAGATGGAATGGAACTGACTGAAGCCTCCACTCTCAGAACCGATCACAAGATTCAGGTGTGGCCAGTCACAGTGACTGGCTCAGAAATGGGTGCATGATTCACACCAGGAACGTGAGTCTTAACTCTGCTGGAGCTATTAGGAAAGAAGTGCTCTTGGGACCGGCAGGTGGCGGGTGGTCAAGGCACTGGACTCCCATGTGGCTGACTGTAGTTTTGAGTCCCGGACCTGGGACTTGCATTTCACTCTCTTCTCTCTCTCTCTGTCTTTCTCTAGTCAACTTGAATAATAATAATAAATGGGGCCAGCAGATGGTGTGGTGGTTAAGGGCACTATATTCCCACTTGGCCAACCACGGTTCGAGTCCCAGACCTGGCAGCTTGCTTTCTTACTTTCCCTTCTTTTTTCTCTCTGTCTCTCTCTGATCAAATTAATAATAATAATAATAACAAACGAAATGAAATAAATAATTCTTTTAAAAAAGAAAGGTTTATATCCATTTTAAAGATGAGAGAACAAAAGGTTAAAATAGTTCATAAACTTGCCCAAAATTAAGAGTTAGTAAGAACTGGAACCTGAACTCAGGTGTAGCACTGTCCCTTTCTGTTTCTCTCTGGTCAAACTACTACTACTAATAATAATAAAATAAATAAATAAAATAAATAATTCTTTTTAAAAGGGGAAAGACAAGTTCTCTTCACTACTGAGTTTTATAAACTTGCAGCTGCTGGGAACATCTTTCCATAGTGAAAAAAGTGTCTGCCTGAGCGCGAAGCCAACCTGAAAAAAAGGCAGAGCTAAAATATGGAGAAAAATTCTTTCTTTTAACATCATCTGACTACCTGGATCCAGCCATATCTAAAACCAGTGTTCTGGGACCAGTGGTTAGCGTAATGGCTATGTCGCTGGACTCCCACGTAGTCGACCGCAGTTCGAGTCCCGGACCCGGTGGCTTAAAACTCACGCTGGGCGCGTGTGCGTGTGTGCCCAAGATCCCGAGAGGAGAATGGAGGAGAAGGGATTGCGGCGTGGCCATCCCCCGTGGTGGGGGATTTCTCGCTTTTTGTCTCTCTGTCTGTCTCTGTCTGTCTGGCGAGTGCACGCACCCTATAGCAAAAACCTTTCCAAAAAAAAAAACAGTGTTCTTAGATTTTCAGTTACATGAAACAAGAACTTCTCTTTCTACCTTAAGCCAGTAAAAATGGTTGCTAATATACTGAAATAGTCTTGATTGACATAATTTTTTTAAAAAGATTTTTCTTTTCTTTAATTGCTTTGATGGGAGTGAGTCAGACAGAGAAAGACAAGCACCCTCAATAGGGTCTTTTTTTTTTTTTTTTTTTGAGAAGCTTTTGCTATAGGACACCTGAACTCGCCCAGAAGAGAGACAGAAAGCGAGAAATCATCCCCCCAGGGGGGATGGCCACACTGCAATCCCTTCTCCTCCTCCATTCTCCTCTCAGGATCTTGGGCATGCACACATGCGCGCCTGGCATGAGTTTAAGCCACCGGGTCTGGGACTCAAACCGCAGTCGACTACATGGGAGTCCAGCAACATAGCCGTTACACCAATTACTGGTCCCCTCAGTAGGGTCTTCAACTGTGATTTCTGTCCCCCCTCCCCCTGCCCCAGCCTCCCAGCCAGTCAGATTATGGACAGACATGCATGCCTAGTGTATATAGGTAGACTGGGGAACGAACCTGCGACTTTCTATATGGATCCAGCTCCATTTGAGCAGTGCATCACTGTTACCGCAAACTGGCCCTGGTACAATTATTGAGCTTCAATTTGCACTAGGCCCTGAAAACAAAATCGTGGGCAAAACCCAGCAAAGATTCTCTACATGGACAGAATTCAAAACTGAACCTCAAGGCCAGCAGGTGGCGTGGGGGTTGAGTCACTGGACTCCCACATGGCCGCTGTGGTTTGAATCCCAGACTTGCCAGCTTGCTTTCTCAATTCCCCTTTCTCTCTCTGGCTGTCTTTCTCTGGTCAAATTAAAAATAACATAACAATAACAAATACAATTAAACAAATAAATAATTCTTAGAAAAATAATTGAGCCCCTTCAGACTGGCCCCTTCCCCAACCTGGATCCAAGCTCTCTTTGGATGGTGTCTTCAGTAACTCTTCTGGTTCACACTCCTCCTCTAGTTCATCCTCTGTCTGCTCTCCAGGGCTTAGGGAACGAATCTCACTGGGCATGGATGCAAATGTCTCCTGCCTAAAGCCAGGAATAAGGTTGGTGAGGAGAGAAACATAAGTCAATGGGGTAGTGGGAGGGCCTTGCCCAGAGCTGGGCCCTGTGCCAAGCTCCAGGTGAAGGAATATATTCTTGGCTTTTGGTCGGCTGGGAGCTCTCTCACTTGATCACTTCCCCCCATTTCCACTAGAAACACATCATCACAATAAATCTCAAAAACAAGACAAATTCTCCTAGGGTCACAGAAAGATGATAGAAAAAAAAAAAGCCAATAGTGGGGCTGCAGTCCTGGGCTGCAGGGTTCCATTTGGAGGGGTACAAAGGAGACATGAGCTCCTTCTGTATGTGGACTAAAACATGCTGGACACAGGTGCGCACTGGAGCCGCCCTGCTGCCAGCTCAGGGTGGGGCAGGAGACTCAAAGCCAAGAGCTAAAGGGAATTGCCCATCTCTTGGTACCTAGGTCTGTGGAAACCCCAAAACCACCTCAGGACAGGTGGCCTGGGTCCAGGCCTGGTCCCTACAGGCTCTTGGGGCCTGCATGGAGGAAATGGCTGAGCCTCAGTATGGAAGCACAGATGGAGGCAGATCCGGAGGCAAGAGAGAAGGAAAATGCAAAAAACCTCCCATGCAAAATAAGCTCCAAACTTTAAATAAAAAATTAGAACATGAGTTCACTCTAAATAAAACTGTTTTGTGGTATACAGATTTTAAATATATTTAGAAAACTCAAAGAAATAGGTGAAGGAATAGCTTTCATGTAAAGTAAAAAGACCCTCAGCTCCACTGTTCCCTGGTCTCCAGGGGCCTCTCCCTGACCTACCCCCTAACCCAGTATTGGCTGTGTCAGGAGCTTCTGGTCTCCAAAAACCCCTGGGGCTCAGAGGCTGACTGAGCACCTCCTCTTTCACTTCAAACCCTCTCACTTCTGTCACTAACACTTCGTGCTCAAAGTCTGTCCCCCCCATTAGGCTGTGAGGGCATTAAGGGCACAGAGAGCCCAGGGCTATCTTGGCCATGACTGTATCCCCAGCCTCACTCCTCACATGCCCAGGGCAGGAGACATTCCTCTAGGGGACGGAGGAGCCGCCAGGACCTGGGGTGGCTGCTCCACTTCCTGTCCTTTGTGCTCGGCTGCTCGCCGTGGTTGATCTCCAGCAAGTGCTGCTTCATGCAGTTGGTGATCTCCGGGCCCAGGTGCCAGATGAACACGCAGCTGTGGGGACCAAGGGAGAAGCAGGACAGGAGGAGTGAATCTTGGAGCCACCACCATGTCTGACCCTGGAGCCACCCGGGCACCAAAGCCAAGACACCATTGCCCAGATCCTTCTGGAAAACAACACCCCATCTGCTTAGTGCAGGGGGTCAGATCCACACCCTGGGTCCAAGTCCAGGGCAAACCAGGGCTTGTTACAGAGGCCTTAAGACCTGAAGGGCTGTGGTAAATGGAAAGGACTTCCTCAGGCTTCAACCATGTACTGAAGACCTTATATGTCACCTTTTTCACATTTTTTTCTTTCAGTTTTTGCTATAGGGCATGCATGCTTGCTGACGAGAAAAAGAGGGAAAGTGAGAAATCACACCCCAGCGGCCGTGTCACAATCCCTTCCCCATTCTCCCCTTGGAATCCTTGGCATACATGCGCATGCACCCAGCATGATTTTCTTTCTTTTTTTTTTTTTGGAGAAGTAGTTTTTGCTATAGGGCGCATGCGCTCGCCAGAAAGACAGACACAGAGAGATAGAAAGCGAGAAATCACCCCCCCCCCCAGGGGGAATAGCCACACTGCAATCCCTTCTCCTCCATTCTCCTCTCAGGTTCTTGGGCACGAACGCGCACGGGCCTGGCGTGAGTTTAAGCTACCAGGTCCAGGACTTCAACAATGGTCAACTACATGGGAGTCCAGCGACAGCCATGACATCAACTGCTGGTTCCATCCCAGATTTTCAAGCCACTGGGTCTGGGACTTGAACTGCAGAGTCAGCTATGTGGGATCTAGCCTCCTTAACCCCATACCACCTGCTAGCCCCTCCTTATTCAAATTTCATCATACAATTTTCAAGGAACATGGTGTTATCTTTCTTTCTTTCTTTAATTTTTTTTTTCCATAAGGCACATGTGCTCACTGGAGAGAGACAGAGAGAGGGAAAGTGAGAAATTGCCCCCCTCCCCCCACCAGGGGGATAGCCATGCCACAATCCCTTCTCCTCTATTCTCTCCGGATTTTGCGCATGCACGCACATGCATCTGGCGTGATTTTCAAGTCAGTAGATCTGGGGCTTGAACCATGGTTGGCCATGTGGGACTCCAGTGCCTTAACCAACATGCCACCTACTGACCCCAGTGCCACCTTTCTTCTACAGAAAAGCAAACTGAGGCTTAGAGAGGGGAAATGACTGCTCAAGGTGACAAGAAAATAAATGGATGGATCTGGGATTTGAACTCGGGTCTGAGTATGACTCCAAGGTGCATGCCACCCAAGGTGGGAAACAGCTGGAAAGCTCAGAAGTGCTGTCTGTGCAGGCAGGCAGTCTTGTGAGCACAGGGCCCCCATCCTCAAAGCACATGTCCCGACCTCCCTCTGAGAGGCCTAGCAGGGGCAGCCTCCGGGCCTGTCCCACCTGTCTCCAGACACTGTGATCAAGTGGCGACAGTCATAGGTGAACTTCATGCCGGTCACAATTTCTGTAAGCAAAGTGGAGAGCTGCACTGGCCTTGTGCGGCAGGGGCTGTGTGGGAGGTGGGGAGGGGTCCCGAGCAGCGAGGCACGCCTACCTGAATGGCCAAACATCTTGGCGATGCACTCGCCTGAGTAAAAGTCAATCACAGAGATGCTTTTGTCAGAGCAGCTTGTGGCCAGGAAGGTGCCTGAGGGGTCCACATGGACCTGCAGGGAAATGACACAGGTCCCTCAGCAGCCTGCTTCTTCCCTATCGTGAGGCCCAGGCCAAACATCCTAGCACCCACTGACTGAGGAGCCCCCTCTGGCCAGAAGCCTGGTAGAGAGCCCTTACCACATATACTTTGGCAGGGCAGGAAGTCCTGCTCCCATTTCACAGATGAAGAAATTCATTACCACCACCCCACCCCCACCACCACCACCACCACCACCACCACGACACCACCACCCCTCCACCACCCCACCACCACCACCACACCACCACCACGCCAGACTGGGAGCCAGGGCCTATGCTAACCCTACACATGCTGAATTTGGCTACCTCACAGAACAACTCTGGTGGCTGGTTTTTTTGTTTGTTTGCCTTTTTTTTTTTCCATAGAGGTTTTTGCCTTAGGGCACGTGCACTAGCCGAGAGAGAGAGAGAGAGAGAGAAAGAGAGAGAGAGAGAAAAGGAGGGAGAGAGGGAGAGACAGAGACACAGAGAGATAGAGAGACAGACAGAGAGAAAGTGAGAAATCACCCCCAGGGTGATGGCCCCACTGTGATCCCTTCTCCATTTTCCTCCTGGGATCTTGAGCATACATGCACTTGCGCCAGATGTGAGTTTGAAGCTACTGGGCCGGGACTTGAACTGCAGTTGGCCATGTGGGAGTCCAGTTACATAACCACTGCACCATCTGTTGGTCCCCTAGTGGCTGTTTTTATTCGCATTTTACAGATGAAAAACAGGTTCAAGAGACAATTCGTGCTCAAGGGCACAGCTGGCCCAAGGCAGAGCTGGGGTCTTGACCCCAGCTGGAGGAGCCTGACCTCCTCACAAGTCTCCGTGTTCACAGTTCTAAGAAGGCCTCCAACTTGTCCCGGCAGCTCATGTCTGTCAGGAGCACACCAGAAGAGGAGTCCATGCATCTCTCAGACATGGCTGGGGGAAGGAAGGGGCTCGGAGCGGGAAGGGCTCGGAAGTACCCCCTCCCTGCACCTGCTCCTAAGCATCCCTGGTTAACCAGGCCCAAGTGGGCACTGACCGGTGCTAGGTGGTCCAGCGGGGCAGCAGACAAGGGCCTGTATGGGGGTGTCTGGGTGTGGTTTTCACCTGGGGGCCCCACTACTCACCTTCAGCAGGGACCCCTCATCGCCCTGAGAGCCCTTGTAACACTTCTTCTGCTTCCCATTCACGGTGTTGTAGACTCTGGGGAGGTAGAGGCACGACATGGGCTGTGGGACACGTCCACCCCCACTGTTCTCCTCTGAGGCTCAGAGAGGGTCCTGCTACCCTGTTTTCACCCGGAAGCCCTCTGCTACCTCTCCTCCCCATCTGATTCCTAGACTGAAGCCTCATCTCAGGGACCGAAGCCCCATCTCAAGTCGAAGTTGTGGTGACGTACTGGGGTATTTGCTGAGTTAACGTGCATCTCCTGAACCTCACAGCAAGCTTAGGGCCCGGCAGTCAACTCCAATGAGCCAAAGGAGGCAGTGGAGAACCTCTTCACATGAGGAACTCTGCCCTCTGCACACCCCCTCCGCCTGCCCTGCTCACTCCTCCACGTCCTTCCAGGGTCAGCTCAGACGACCCTTCCTCTAGGAAGCCCTGGTCCATCCAGTAAGGGGTCAGGTGTCTTTCCAGGGCCCTCATGACCCTTCGGGCTCTCCCTCTCTGGACCTGAGCCCTCAGTGCTGTCTGCCTGGTGAGGTGGCTGCATCCACTGGACTGTGGTTCCTGTGAAGGAGAGTCTGGGGACATCCTTCCCCCACGCCTGGCACTGACCAATCCCAGGAATGAGGGTGCATGAGTGAGGCTATGAACCACATCAGCACTGCTTAGAGGCCCCATACAGGACCCCCGGAAAGCCAGAAGGAAGCCTGGGAGAACCCAGCTTCTCAGACACTTGCTGGCTGCCTCCACCCCTCCTACCTTCTCAGGGACCTGATGAGCAGGCAAGGACAGTAAGCAGCCCAGGAGAAGACAGAGCAGCCAGCTCCCACTCAGGCCTCTCGGAATCTGCCCAGACCAGGCCATCTGTGAACCCAGGGCAGCTGCTCACCTTACATTGCGGTCCTGGCAGGCCACAGCCACATACTTCTGGGTGATGTCAATGTCCATGTCATACAAGGTGGTTTTCTCTGCGACATGGTGAGTACGGACAAAGTGCAGTCCATCCGAGGCCTGGCAGGGCAGGAAGAACCTTCAGAGGATGCCCCTGACGAGCCTCCCACCCTAGCGCCAACCACATGTCCCACCCTACCCTCTGGGCGCTGCGAAAGTAGATGCTCTTGTCGGCCCCACAGCTGATCATCTGGATGTCTCTGTTGCCTGAGGGAGGAAGAGGCAGTACATTAGGCAGAACTGGGCCACACGGGCCAGGGAAATCTAGCAGGGAGGACAATCAGCCAGCTTTGCTGGGATCAAGGAGAGCTTCTTGGAGAGAAGTGGGTGCTGGATGGCTCCAGGTGGGAATCTATGAGACATAAGCTGTGCGTGTGAGGGGGAACAGATAGAGCTGTGGGCAAGGCGGGTCTCTGCAGACCAAGGGTGTATAGGAAACAAAGACCCGGGACACAGAAGGGGCACCATCTCCAATCTGGGAATTAGACAGGTAACTCAAGCAGAGAGGAGGTGGGGCTGCAGCAGAACAAGTAGAAACAGGCGGGGAGGCAAGTGTCATCCATCCATAGTAATCAGGGGTCAGCAGCCATGAGGCTAGCTCCCACATGGCTGACCAGGCTCAAGTCCTGGCTCCAGCAGCTCCCAAAGCATGCTGGGCACATGCATGCATGCCCGGCATCCTGAAGGGATGGAGCATGGAGGCAAAAAGACTGCAGCATGACTAGGCCATGGGGTGGGTGTTTTCTTTCCTCTCTCTCTCCTTCCCGCTCCTCTCATTCATACAAACCCTCCAGCATTAAAAAAAAGAAGGTCCACATGAACTTGGGACTCCCCTAGGCATATGCCTCATCTTCCTCAATGCTTGCTGACCCCTCACTGTACAACGTGAGTGAAAGGGCTCAGAGACATGCAGTGCTTGTCCCTAGGCAGGTGGGGATTCACTATAATGGGGCCAGCACTGAGTCCAGGCCTTCTCGGGTGCCGGAGTCAAAGCCACTAGATGCCATGCTTTGAACGTGGGCTGCCCCCTGGGCCTCAGCTTCCTGTCTGCACAATGAGCTTAACAACAGTCCCCTCCCCGCACCCAGAGATGCAAGAAGCCCTTGGAACAGGGGGTGCCTCATGGTTACAAATGTTCTAGCTTTGATTATTCTTATTTCTTTATAGAGTAAGAGTTGTGGTCAGAACAGAAATACAAAACAAATACAAATAACTTGGAGTCTTGGTACAACAGATGCTGTTCCTTCAGGACAGGACATGTGAGAAAATCTAATACATGGGCCTGACATGCATGTATTAGATTGTTACACAAGCAGGAGTCCCATAGAAGGGAGTGAGCCCTGTGCAAGGGAGGGCATGTGACCTGGGAGGGGCCAGAGAGGGCCTGCAACTCCTGGTAACACTCTGCTCCTCCAACCACAGGTGGCGAAGTCACGTACTAAACAGTATCCGGACCGTCAGCAAGCAGGGCTGTCTCTGGTATACACAACGGCGTGCCCATCCTGGGGCCTACCTACCAGCCGGGAACTTCGACGTACTATTATTGCTGTTCTGCAAACTATTATTCTTTAAATGTTTTAGGCATCTATATTTCATAAAAAAGGACTGAAAGACTGAACTTGTCTTTAGCAGGGAAGCTTCAGACAGGTTCTGACTAGTGATTCCCCAGAGGAGTCTGACTGATTTTTATTCTTATTTTTTGGCAAAGAAACTTATGCTTCTTCTTCTTCTTTTTCTAAGAGTTTTTTGCTATGGGGCACTGGCGCTCACCAGAAAGACAGAGACAGAGAGACAAAAAGCGAGAAATCACTCCCCAGGTGTGATGGCCACGCCACAATCCCTTCTCCTCCATTTTCCTCTCATGATCTTGGGCACACAAGTACATGTGCCCAGTGTGAGTTTAAGCCACTGGGTCCAGGACTCGAACCACGGTTGACTACATGGGAGACCAGTGACATAGCCACTACGCTAACTCTTGGTCCCGATTCTTTTAAACTTCCTTTATGCCTTTTTTTTTTTTTTTTTGAGAGATTTTCACTGTAGGGCGTGTGCGCTCGCCAGACAGACAGAGAGAGACATAGAGACAGAAAGCGAGAAATCACCCCCCAGGGGGGATGGTCATGCCGCAATCCCTTCTCCTCCATTCTCCTCTCGGGATCTTGGGCACGCACGCACACGCGCCCGGCGTGAGTTTTAAGCCACCGGGTCCGGGACAAGAACCGCGGTCGACTACGTGGGAGTCCAGCGACATAGCCATTACGCTAACTGCTGGTTCCCATATGCCTTTTTACAAATAATAAGAAAAAATGTTTACATTGAATTCAGCTACATTTCCTAGTAGCCGAATAATTTTATACATTATTTTTACATAATTTCTATTTTATATAAAAAATTATGCTCACTCTCTTCATAGTTTCTCTTTCCCCATCCTCCCCCCCCCCTTTTTTTTGGTTCCAGTTATGTGAGTTTTTTGGTTTTTTTTTTTTAAAGAATAGGAAGAACAAGCATCTTTTACTTTCCATCCAACTATAAACAGTATCCTGTTTTTTTTTTTTTAAAGAATAGGAAGAACAAGCATCTTTTACTTTCCATCCAACTATAAACAGTATCCTGTTTTTTTTTTTTTAAAGAATAGGAAGAACAAGCATCTTTTACTTTCCATCCAACTATAAACAGTATCCTGTTTTTTTTTTTTTAAAGAATAGGAAGAACAAGCATCTTTTACTTTCCATCCAACTATAAACAGTATCCTGTTTTTTTTTTTTTAATTTAATTCTAATCCTATACTTTAATAATCAAACTGATAGAGAATTATAATTTTTTCTCGGGATCCAAATCTTCTAGGAAAGAAAATGTTAAGGTCTATTCAGAACCAACCATCCTTGCACACATTCCTATTTGACAAAAGTTAATAAGCATATTTCTCATTCTGTGAAAATGAATTAAATTAAAAAGTAAGTTTTGTTGCTATTAAAATGAGAAAGTACGCTTTTCATTTAGTTTAGTCAAACCTCAAACCAATACAATATTTCTTTTCATAAAATAGAGTAATTCAGCATACTGAAATACAGTGAAGGAAAATTTCCTTTGGATTTTTAAATATAATTGCTTGTGTGTTGGTAGGTAGAGTGGAGGTTAAGGCAGCTGGACTCCCAAAGGGCTGACTGTAGTTCGAGTCCTGGACCTGGCAGTTTTCTCTCTTGCTTTCTTCTCTCTCTGTCTCTCTCTGGTCAACTTCAAAGAATTAAAATAAAATAACGACAGTGAATAAAATTAAATAATTCTTTTTAAAAAGTCGCTTGCTGGGACCAGCAGATAGTGTAATGGCTACATCACTGCACTCCCATGTAGTCGACCGTGGTTAGAGTCCCGGACCCAGTGGCTTAAACTCACGCCGGGCACATGTGTGTGCATGCCCAAGATCCCAGGAGGAGAAAGGATTGTAGCATGGCCATCCCCTTTGTGAAGTGGTTTCTTGCTTTCTGTCTCTCTGTCTGTCTTTCTGGCAAGCACACACACCCTATAGCAAAAAACTCTCAAAAAAAAAGTTGCTTGTTTTAGGAAATCTATTTTGCCCTTTCTTAGATACTTTGTTATGATACCGTTGTTCATAATGTATTCTCATTTTATTGGCCACTGTCAGTAGTTTTTCCTGATAAAGAAAACAAACATTTACCTTATAATAATTTTTTTTCTTTTTTTTTGGAGAGATTTTCGCTATAGGGCGCGTGCGCTCGCCAGACAGACAGAGAGAGACATAGAGACAGAAAGCGAGAAATCACCCCCCAGGGGGGATGGTCACGCCGCAATCCCTTCTCCTCCATTCTCCTCTCGGGATCTTGGGCACGCACGCACACGCGCCCGGCGTGAGTTTTAAGCCACCAGGTCCGGGACGCGAACCGCGGTCGACTACGTGGGAATCCAGCGACATAGCCATTACGCTAACTGCTGGTTCCCCCTTATAATAATTTTTTGAAGATTCAGTGTGCCATTACTTTGCTAATTACTATTCATTGATAAAGTGATGTTTGTAACAATTTTTTTCCTTGAGAGGTTTTGTTGCTATAGGGTGTGTGCGCTCGCCAGAAAGAGAGACAGAGAGACAGAAAGCGAGAAATCACCCCCTGAGGGGATGGCCATGCCACAATCCCTTCTCCTCCATTCTCCCGGGATCTTGGGCATGCACGCACACATGCACACGTGCCCAGCGTGAGTTTAAGCCACCAGGGCCAGGACTTGAACCAAATCACAGCCCACTACATGGGAGTCCAGCGACAGCCACTACACCAACTGCTGATCCTGATGTTTGTAACAGTTTTAACACTTGTTATTTCATCGTATTTTCTGAAGTAGTATGACTCCATTATTGCCGTAGCCTTAAGGTTTTTATTGTACAAGTCAGCCTGTTTGTGTATGCTAACTTGCAATTATTTCTCTGTATTATGCTTTTAGACTTTTTAAAAATTTAGAGCATCGTAATTTCTATTTGTGCTCAATAGGCAGGGTGGTTTTTGTAAAAAATAATTAGTAAAAATGCATTATGTTATTTTTAAAATACCATAGGATTTTGGGTCAGGAAACCTGATTGTAGTCTCATCTCTCTTTTCAACGAGCTATATAACTTTGGACAAGGCATTTTACATCTGAGTCCTCCTTCTTCTCATTTTCTCAGAGACCCATCTCTGTTCGTTATGTCATCAGTACATAAGGCTGCGAGGCACACAGCAAAGGACCAATACGTATCTGTCTAGGTGTTTGGTTTGGAAGGAGAGGTTTGGAGCAGAGGGTCTTCAGTTATCGTAGTCGTGACTGATTTTTGAACATAGCCATGGTGGGTCGGCCGGCCAGAGGAGGGTGCCCAGGAGCCAGTTTAGGTCTGCATTCTCGGACAGGCCGGGGCTCTCGTGAAGGTAAGTGCCCTTCAGAAGGCAGCCTTGAGCTTGGCCTCCTGGGCGATCTCCTTGGTAGTCATCACCTCTCCTGGATCTTGACCATTCATTAAGGGGAAGGTTGCTGTCAGTAGACTGTTAGATTTACTGATTTATTTAAATATATCTTGTAAAATGGGAAAATTTCAACAGTTTTTTTTTGTTGTCGTTTGTTTAGATTTTTGCCATAGGATGTGTACACTCGCTGGAGGCACAGAGACAGGGAAAGTGAAAAATCACCCCCATGTGATTGTGCCCTGCCAAAATTCCTTTTTCTCCATTCTCCTCTTGGGCTTTCTTCTTCTTTTCTTCTTCTTCTTTTTTTTTTTTCTTTTTAAAGGTTTTTGTCGTAGGGCATGTGCGCTCACCAGAGAGAGAGAGAGAGGCAGAGAAAAACAGAGAGAGGGGAAATGGGAACTCATCTCCCAGGGAGGGTGGGCATGTCACAACCCCTTCTCCTCCAGTGTCTTCTCTGGATTTTAGGCACACACGCACATACACCCAGCATGATTTTTCAAGCCATAAGGTCTGGGACTCGAACTGTGGTTGGCCATGTGACATCCAGCACCACTATGCCTCTTGGGATTTGGGGCATGCACACACATGCTCCTGGTGTGATTTTCAAGCTGTGGGGCCTGGGACTCAAACCACAAGGTCAGCCATGTGGGATCCAGCTGTCTTAACCTCCACATTACCCAATTTGAACAGTTTTTAAAGACGTCTGAGAGGGGACCAGCAGGTGGTGTGGTGGTTAAGGTGCTGGCCACTCCCACATGGCCGACCGTGGTTCGAGTCCCAGACCTGACGGCTTCCTTCCTCCCTTTCCTTCTCTCTCTCTCTCTGTGCCTCTCTCTGGTCAAATTAAAATTAAATGAATAAATAAATAAAGTTAAATAAATAATAATTTTTTAAAAAAGACGTCTGAGAAGTTTTGGCTGACCAGCTTTTGCTAGATCTTCATCAAACCATATTGAATATTGTTACCTCGTCTCTGGTCAGCTAGAGACAGGTAGGGCAGGAAGTAGGAAAGGCCAAGGGATGTCATTCATGAGATGATATTTAACACACTTTTCAGAGACAGGAACTTACAGTCAACGGACATATTCCTTTCCTGAAGAGATTCTTCCTTAGCATGGTTTGAACGTGGTTTGGGGTTTTGACCAGTTAAACACCCACTGGGCCTGCCTCCCCTCCCCTTGTGATCCTTTAAGACCAGGGCTCGCCATTGGCATCTCCCCAGCCTTGAAGGGCTCCCTTTGATCCCTGGTTGAGTACAGCAGGCTCTTTATTTTTTTTAAGAATGATTTTTACTTAAATTTTATTTATTTTAATTTGACCAGAGAGGGACAGAGAGAGGAGGAGAGACAGAGAAAGAGAGAGAAGGAGAGAGAGACCTGATCATTAAAAAAAAGTTCAATTGGAGGCCGGCAGGTAGCATGGTGGTTGGGGCACTGGACTCCCACATGGCCAACTGCAGTTTGAGTACTGGACCTGGTGACTTTCTCTGTCTCTTAGTCAAATTTAAAAAAAAATAATAATAATAATAATAATAATTATTATTATTTTTTTAAAAGTTCAACCTTTGGATCTTGTGTCTAAATCCTTCTTCTTCTATTTAAGCTAGAGGGAAAGTGTGTTGGTACTGGCAAGCAAAGGGGCCTATCCGATCCGACAACATGGAGGAAGTGGGGGGGGCAGGGACTCACCAGCAAACTTAATGGCCGTGATGGAGGAAGAGTGGTCGTCCAGCGTCTGCTCCAGATTGTAGTTCTTCTCTACATTCAGCACGTGGATGAGCCGGTCTCGACTGGCTGAAGCCAGCAAGGTCAGTCCTGTGAGTAGAAAGGACGGGTCTGGGTTCCTAAGGCTGCTCGATGCCTCGGCCTCTTAGAAAAGTAACATAACCCAGTTGTACAGTCCTTGGAAAAATTCTTTTTTTTTTTTTTTTAAGAATTATTTTATTTAACTTTATTTATTCATTTATTTATTTTAATTTGATGAGAGAGGGACAAAGCAAGAGAGAGAGAGAAAGTGAGGAGGCAAGCCATCAGGTCTGGGACTTGAACCATGGTCAGTCATGTGGGAGTTCAGCGCCCTTAACCACCACGCTACCTGCTGTCCCTGGAAAAATTCTATCATCTGAATCAAGTCATGAGGAAAATAGAGGGGTCTGTAGTTCCAGAACTGTAGCCAACTTGCCTCAAACCAACAAAAAGTAACTCCGTCAGCTCTGTGTGGTCTTTCCCTGCAGCCCCTGAACTCTGGCATCTCATACCCCTCACCAGCAGCTCAGGCGGGACCAGTTGAACACAGACCATCCTGCACACCCACAGCAGGCATTCTAGCACAGCCCAGTGCTGGTTCCTGTAGCACAGCCCAGTGCTGGTTCCGGCTGAGCTCAAGTCTCTGGCATTCCCCTGAAGTCCTCTCAACCGTCTGGCCTCATCTAAAACCACGACTCCCTCCCTGAGTTCTGGCTACCATGTCTTGTCCAGGCCCCATGACTGCCTGCTACCACACTTCTTTCTGCAACTGGGCCTACTCTGGTCCCCTGGTCTGACTGAGGTCTAACAACACAACCCAAGAAGACAGGAGCTCAGGAAAGGTGTACTGAGCAAAGAGGAATTTAAAGAAAATTCGGAGGAGTAGAGGTACAGGGGATGGAAGTTAAAAAATAGCATGAAAAAAGTAATCATTTAGGGCCCGGCAAGTGTGGTGGTTAAGAGCACTAGACTCCCACATGGCCAACTGCAATTCAAGTCCCGGACCTGGCAGCTTGCTTTCTCACTTCCCCTCTCTCTTTCACTCTGTCCCTCTCTAGTCGAATTAAAAAATAAAATAAATAAAAATAAAGTTAAATAAAATAATTCTTTAAAAGAAAAGAAAAATAATAATTTAACTCCATCTTTAAAATATTCCTACCAAAATTCTATCATCTGAATCAAGTCATGAGGAAAACAGATAAACCCAAATTGAGGGAAATTCTGCAAAGCAATTGGCCTATTCTCTGCAGAAAGTCAAAGTCAAAAGACAGATAAAGTCCATGGCAGGCAGCAGGTGGTCTAGGGGAAGGTGATGGACTCCCACATGGCCAACCATGGTTCGGGTCCCGGACCCAGCAGCTTGAAAATCATACCAGGTATGTGTGTCTAAAATCTCAAGAGGAGACTGGAGGAAAAGAAACTGTGACATGGCCATTCTCCCAGAGGGTGATTTCTCCCTTTCCCAATCTCTGTCTCTCTCTGGCATGCACATGCACCCTATGGAAAAACCTTAAAAAAAAAAAATTAAGTCCATGGAAATGTTTCAGAATAAAGGGAACGAAAGAGCCTGGCACCTAAACTGTGAACCTAGACTAGAACACAGCAGTGCTGTGATGCAGGTACTCTTGCCATTATAATACCCTTGCCATTTTCTGTAGGCTTCAAACTTTTAAAACTCTAGTCATGTGTCACTTAACAGCAGGGACACAACCTGGGAAACGTGTTGTGAGGCGACTCCACAGTTGTGTGAACACCACAGAGTGCCCTTATACAAACCTACGTGTTCGGCCTATTATAGCCAGGTATAGGTGTGATCTCAGGGGACCGCCAGTACATATACGGTCCATCACTGACTGAGTGTCATTCTGGGACAACTGACTGCCGTGCCTGAGATCGTCAACCTTCTCCAGTAGGAGATGAGCTCATTTACACCTTGGCTAATTTAGAGATACACCTCTTTGGCTTAGGCGCTATGAGGTGCCAGGACCTGTGAGCAAGCCAAGCTGAGTTCTGTCAGCAGCTATCTTGCTTTCTAAAGCCGCAGCCACCTTGGTCCCCCGGGCCCGCAACTGAGGCCCTCACTATACACAGAACTCCCAGCTGTCATCTACAGTCCCACTAGACACTGACTACCCCTTTCTGAGGCTCTGCCAGGGGGCTGCCCCTGCTCCCCTTTGCCATGAGCTCACCTGTCTCAGGCTTGGAGTACTCTAGGCATAGCACCTCAGCATCGTGGGCTTCTACCTTGACCAGCTCGTCCATGAAGTGCAGCTCGTGGATCCTAGGAGACACACAGCCTGCTGTACCCTGCCCAGAGCCCCCAACACCCCAGCCCCAGGTGCTCGTCCACTGCCAGAAAAGGCCAGAACAGCTAGGTAGGCAGTATGGGAACCCCCTATCATGGCCCGTTAGTCTAGAGATGCCCAACCACATCTTCTCTTCCGGAAACCTGGCATTGTAAAGGGAGCAGTGTTGAGCCGGCACTTCAATAGGCACCAGCCTCTTATGGTTCAAGGGCCAGAATATACTCCCTGGGATCTAGGACAGTCCTGGGGGCCAGGCATTTGTGCAGGCTGTATCAAAGGCACTCCTTGAGCATGGGTCAGGGGTCAGAGGTCATAGTCAATGATAGCACCTATGGATGAAGACCTCTACTTCCAATCTCTCATTCTTTCTTCTTTTAACTGCTAGAATGTGATGGGGTTGGCAGGTGGCATGGTGATTAAGGCACTGGATTCCCACATGGTTCAAGTCCTGGACCTGGCAGCTTGCTTTCTTACTCTCTCTCTCTCTCTGGTCAAATTATAAAATAATAATGACAAATAAAATCAAATAAATAATTCTTTTAAAAAATGGTGATAGGGGGTCAGCAGTTAGCCTAATGGCTATGTTGCTGGACTCCCACGTAGTCAACCACAGTTCGAGTCCAGGACCCGGTGGCTTAAACTCATGCCGGGCACGTGTGCGTGCGTGCCCAAGATCCCGAGAGGAGAATGGAGGAGAAGGGATTGCAGCATGGCCATCCCCCTTGGGGGGTGATTTCTCGCTTTCTATCTCTCTGTCTCTCTCTGTCTGTCTGGCGAGTGCACACGCCCTATAGCAAAAACCTCTAAAAAAAAAATTTTTTTTAAATGGTGCATACACTCACAGGAGAGAGAGAGAGAGAGAGATAATATCCCTAATGAGGCATAGTGTCCTTGGCAATCCCCCTTTCCACTCTGTTGAGATTTGGGGTGTGCATATGCAAGAGCTCAGAGTGATTTTCAAGTCACTGGACTGGTCATGTGGGATCAGGCTCCCTTAACCACTAGGCTACAAAGCCAGCCCGAATCCCTCATTCTCATTCCCCCACAACCTCTCATTCTTAAAGAATCTCAAATTCTTTATTCTTTCTATATGGAATCAATCAACATGCCATTTCCACTCCTCTATCTTTACCTGTGTGTCCTTAGCCTAGACGCTTCGCCTCTCTTGTCTCAAGTAAACCATTTGAAGAACGGAGCTAAGAAAAGCACTGGCATCAGAGGGCCAGTGTGAGGATACACAGTGCAATACATACACACAGGGATACGTACGGTGCTCAGGTGGGCGTCTGGACGGGGGAGAGTGTGATACCTACGTCAGGTCTCGTTACGGCAGAGCCTCACTGTGAGCAGCCCACTGACACAGTCAGTTTGGCTCATGTAGTGACTGAGATCACAATGGTTGCCAATATTTAAAAACCAGAATTTCACAGGATAAACCCTGCACTTTTTGCTCTTCTTGGACAACGAGAATATATGACAACTGGGAGCCTGCTCTGCTGTGTGGTGGCTGCCTATTTATGGGGCCCACGCTATCTAGTTCCCTGTCTCTTTTATCCCTCAACAGCTCCAACCCCCAGGTGGTCCAAGCTGTCACCTGTTATCTCACACCAGGTTCCTATGACAGGGTTTATGTTCTACCAGCACTTAGCAGGCTGGTAACACCTTGAGGAACCTCGGCAGGTGGGTAAACAGCCTGAGCCTTCAAATGTCCCACACCTCCCTGGCTGCTCTCCCAGTGCCACTGGGACCCCCTCCAGCTGGTACCTTCACTGACAATTCCACGCTGTTGCCACATGGCTGGTGAAAGTGTCGCTCTGCCCCGGAGCCATGTGTCTACTCGACAGGCAATATATGAAACAGGAAGCCCCTCCCCAGCTTAAGTTCCCAGGGGTGAACTGCTACTCAAGTCCTTCATTCCCAGTGGGCCACTGGGGCTGCCAAGGCCAGGGCTCCTCCCCATCGCCCTCAGAACCCAAGCCAGAGCTGGGAGATGCACCAGCCCCACCAGGGCTCACTTGCCTCAGATTTCCACTTCGGTCTCCTGAAGCCAAGTGCTGGCCATCAGGACTGACCTGCATGACTCGCACCCCGGCTTTCACGTCCACAGGTGTCACGTTGTCACTTCCCCGGTCTGGGAAGTGTGACATGTCCTGTAGGTGCTGGATGTCATTCTCCACATACACCACCTTCAGCAGGGTCTGCAGGAAGGAGAGGGCAGAGTTCAGGTCAGTGCTGCAAGGAGCTCAGAAGGGCCTCTAGGACTCTCTGCCTCCCCATAGCCAGTCTCTCTTTCTTCATTAGTAACAGAACTCTGATTGTGAGCTGGACGCTTCACCACTCAGAATAATAACTGTGTTTCAGAGGCTCCCCTGCAGCTAGATGAGGCCATGTGAATAGACTCTGCATGAGGAGATGTAAAGAGAGCGAGTGCTCTTCCACTGTCTTTCCTCCATCACGCTGCCTGGAACTTGGGTATGATGGCTGGTACCCAACAGTGGCTCAGGAGGACAATGGCCACTCCTGCCAACTACAGAGTAGAGAGCTGGAAGGTGCCTGGGTCTCTATGGGCTTTTCGTAGCTGCCCAAACACCCCAGACTGATTACCTCCAGACTACTTTTATGAGTCAGAACACCACTTACTTTAAGTTTCCCTACCATGTGCAGCCAAATGCAATATGCACACTAAGGTGCAGGAGGGAAATGGCAGCGGTGCGGGGAGGGCGGTGGTGAGGAGCAGGAAAGGAGCACCTGCTAGACACACCCTGCATTAAGAGCCTTTTTTGTTCCAGCCACCCTGCCAAGTTTTCCAACCCTCCAAGCTCTTTCTCAACTCAGAGCCTTTGCACAGGCTCCTCCCTCGGTGTGAAACACTCTCCCTAACCTTTTTTTTTTTTTGTCTGGAGAGGTTTTCGCTATAGGGCGCGTGCGCTCGCCAGACAGAGAGAGACAGACAGAAAGTGAGAAATCACCCCCCAGGGGGGATGGCCATGCTACAATCCCTTCTCCTCCATTCTCCTCTCGGGATCTTGGGCACGCACGCACATGTGCCCAGCGTGAGTTTTAAGCCACCGGGTCCGGGACTTGAACTGTGGTCGACTACATGGGAGTCCAGTGACATAGCCATTACGCTGACTGCTGGTCCCTCCCCTAACCTTCTTTTTTTTTTTCCTTTGGAGAGGTTTTTGCTATAGGGCACGTGTGCTCGCCAGACAGACAGAGACGGAGAGACAGAAAGCGAGAAATCACCCCCCAGGGGGGATGGCCATGCTACAATCCCTTCTCCTCCATTCTCCTCTCGGGATCTTGGGCACGCACGCACACGCGCCCGGCATGAGTTTAAGCCACCGGGTCTGGGACTCAAACTGTGGTTGACTATGTGGGAGTCTAGCAACATAGCCATTATGCTAACTGCTGGTCCTGCCCTCCCCTAACCTTCTTTACTCTTCCCAACCCTCCACGGCTCAGCTCAGTGCATCTTCACAGGCAGCTGATCCTGGGGAAGAGCTCAAACAACACTGTTTCATGTTCTAATCACATCCTGCAGTCTTCTTTCACGGTGCCTACTGCACTTGTGATGATACAGAACTTGTACAATTATTGGCTCACTGTCGTCTGACTAGACTGGAGGTCTAGTGGCAAAGGGGTCTGTCTTAGTTACTGCTGTGTCCCCAGCTTATGTGAAACCCCTCACATAGACCTCCATAAGTATCTGCAGAATAAATGCACGATTTGGGCCTTCGCTCCCCAGGGAAGCTCCCTCACTGACCTAGCAATACTAACCCAATGTTCCTCAGCAAACTATTTTCTCCCCAGACTACCAGGATAGTTCCCCTTTAGAACCCTGCCAGCACCTGACCCAAGGCCTCACTGCATGGCAGCTGGTTAGACAGAGGAAGCCCCTATCTGGCTTAGGGCTAGACATATGCTCTCCCAAGGAGTTCCAACTCAAGACTTGGGGAGCAGTTGCGTCTCTGTTGAGTGTGCTGGGCTGCTTGGAGTGGCCATGTCCCACACACACACCTGGAGAGCAGGAGCTCATTGGCAGAGAGAACCAGAGAGGACAGGCCATGCCACCTCAGAAAGAGAGAGAGAAACAAAAGGAAGGAGCGCCAAGTGGCCTACCTTGGTCTTTGGTAGCTGCCCTAGTAAAGTCTAACACCTAGATTCCATAGACTCCCTTCTGCCCCCGATGCCTAGCTTAAAGTAGGTCTCTGTTACTCCTCAAAGGTGGATCACGGTGAAGCCACTCACATTGCTGAAGATGTTTTTCTTCCGGTGAGAGTCAGGGCTGTTATCCATGTTCCAGAAGCGGATGGTGTTGTCTGAGGAACAAGTCAGAAAAGATCCTGATGGCAAACAAGCTGTCTGATCTTCAAACTCAGGATACACCTACAGCTCCCAGAGGAAAAAAGCAAAAGGAGATTCATTACAACCATCTCAATGATACCTCAATGTGATATACTGTTGCATTTTGGTGCAAAAAAGTAAATTCAAGGTAAACAGGCACAGTTTACCTTCTAAATGTTAAAAATAAACAGGGATCAGCAGATGGTGTAATGGTTACGTTGCTGGACACCCATGTACTCGATCGCAGTTTGAGTCCCAGACCCAGTGAATTAAAACTTATGCCAGGTGCATGTGCATGTGTGCTCAACATTCTGAGAGGAAAATGGAGAAGGGATTGCGGCATGGCCATTTCACCTGGGGGCTGGGGGGAGGGGGTTAGTTCCTGCTTTCTGTCCCCTGTCTCTCTCTCTCATTTTTTTTTTTTTCCGGAGAGGTTTTTGCTACAGGGTGCATGTGCTTGCCAGAAAGACAGAGAGAGACAGGGAGACAGAAAGCGAGAAATTACCCACCATGGGGGATAGCCATGCTGCAATCCCTTCTCCTCCATTCTCCTTTCAGGATCTTGGGCACACATGCACACACGCCTGGCATGGTGTTTTTTTCTTTCTTTCTTTCTTTCTTTTTTTTTTAGAGGTTTTTGCTATAGGGCACATATGCTCGCCAGACAGACAGAGAGACTGAAAGCGAGAAATCACCCCCGGGGGGAATGGCCACGCCACAATCCCTTCTCCTCCATTCTCCTCTAGGGATCCTGGGCACGCACACACATGCGCCCAGTGTGAGTTTTAAGTCACTGGGTGCAGGATTCAAATTGCGGTCGACTACATAGGAGTCCAGCGACATAGCCATTATGCTAACTGCTGGTCCCCCTCTGTCTAGCAAGCACACATGCCTATAGCAAAAATCTCTCTAAAAATAAACAAACAAGCAAACAAACAATAAGAAATCCCTGAAGAAACCAAATCAAGGGAACAGAAAAAAATACTGAAGGCTCTAATTTAAGAATATTGATTAGGGCCCATCATCCTACTGTATGGTGGGAATCCTACATGGTCAACAGTGCAGTTCAAGCCCTGGCCTCAGTAGCCTGATACACACTCTGGGCATGTGTGTGAATGCATCCCAAAGCACAACAGAATGGAGAGATCATGGCACAATTATTCCCCATTGGAGGACGTTACCTCTCTCTCTGTCTCTCTCTGGTGAGTGCATGTATCCTTTAGCAAAATTTAGGGGAAAAAAAGGTTTGTCTTTTGTTTATTTTACCCCCAGGTTTTTGCCATAGGGTAGGTGCGCTTGCCAGAGTGAGACAGAGACAGAGAGGGAAAGTGAGAAATAACCCCCTAGGAAGGATGGCCATGCCACAATCCTTTCTCCTCCATTCTCCTCTCAGGATCTGGGGCATGCATGCACACGCACCCAGTGTGATTTTAAAGCTGTTGAGTCCAGGACTCAAACCTACTACTTGGCCATGTGGGATTCAGCTGCCTTAACCTCCACACTACTTGCTGGTCCCAAGCCTAGCATTTTATATCCAGCAAAAGTGACTTTCAAGTATAAAGGACACAGACAAACTGTTATAAGTATACAAAAACTCAAACCAGGAAATACTCTATGAACGTTTCCTAACAAATCTACAGAATGAGCTGCAGACAACAAAGATGACTAGTAAGACACTGACATAAGGGAGGACTGGGGCCAGCAGATGGCACAGTGATGACATCGCAGGGCTCCCACAGGGCCAGCAGTGGTACTAATCCCGGACCCACTGGCTTGAAACTCATGCCAGGCACATGTGCGTGAGTATCCAAGACCCCAGGAGGAAAAGGGATCGCACAGTGGCCATCCCCTCTGTAGGGAGTGATTTCTTACTTTCTCTCTCATTGTGTGTCTCTCTCCCACCCCAGTTCATGTGTCCTAATGCAGAAACCTCTAAAGACAAAAAGAATGAATGAGGGTTAGGTCAATGGGTGGTGTGGAGGATAAGGTGCTAGATCCTGACTCCATAGTTTAAGTTCCAGCCTAAGTGGCTTAAAAATCATGCCAGACATGTATGTGTGTTCAAAACCCCAACAGGAGACTGGAGGAGAAGGGATTGAGGTGTGGCCATCCCAGGGCTGACTTCTTATTTTCCCTTTCTCTATCTTGCTCTGGCAAGTCCACATGCCCTAGCAAAACTAAAAAAATTAAATTAATAAATAGATGAAAGTCAAGTGATACATCTGAAAATCACTGCCATCACTGATAACGGCAGAACAGAAACTCCAGAAAGCTGACTTTCCATTCAAGCAACTATTAAACTGGCCCGAACTGTCAGAGTCAACTTTTTCAAAAGATCTAGTGAGTCCCACCAGAGGAGTGCCTGATTAAAAAGAAAAAAAAGTCAAGTAAAAAGAAAGGCCGCTGAACTTGGGCATTTGAGAAAGTTTCAGTCACATCACTATCTGGCACTAAGATGACAGGACAGAGGCTTTGGCAGCAACATACAAGAAAACATAGAGTCTTTACAAAAAATAGTTCGGGAAGGTCACTAAACAACAAAAACCACAACCCATAACTATTAGCAAAAAACAAACCCTGGGAAAGAAGAACCGATTTCTTTTTTCTTTTTTTTTTTTAGAGGTTTTTGCTATAGGGCGTGTGCGCTCACCAGACAGACAGAGAGAGACAGAGAGACAGAAAGCGAGAAATCACCCCCCAGGGGGGATGGCCACGCCGCAATCCTTTCTCCTCCATTCTCCTCTTGGGATCTTGGGCACGCATGCACACGCGCCCGGCGTGAGTTTAAGCCACTGGGTCCGGGACTCGAACCGCGGTCGACTACGTGAGAGTCCAGCGACATAGCCATTACGCTAACTGCTGGTCCCAATACAGTATTCTACAAAATATTATGAGGTAGCCATGCAACAAAAAAAAAGTATGGCCCACTCACAGAAAAAAGAAATGAACTGAAACTGTGCCCAAGAAAGTCCAGATTGGACTTCTTTCTTTTTAAGAATTATTTTATTTAGCTTTATTTATTTTAATTTGACCAGAGAGGGACAGAGCCAGAGCGAGAGGGAAAGTGAAAAAGCAAGCCGCCAGGTCTGGGACTCAAACCATGGTCAGTCATATGGGAGTCCAGCAGACCCAACTACCATTGGCACCTGCCAGCCTCCCCTCTCTCTCTTTTTTTTTTTTTTTAGAATTATTTTATTTGTACTTTCCCTGCCAACACCGAGTCCCACAGAGGCAGGCTCAGGTGTATTCAAGATTCAGCTCCACCCATAATCTACCACCATGGCTGAGGAAGGCATTGCTGCTGGAGGTATAATGGACGTTAATACTGCTTTACAAGAGGTGCAGAAGACCACCTGCATCCGTGATGGCCTAGCAGGTAGAATTCGGGAAGCCGCCAAGGACTTAGACAAGCACCAAGCTCACTTGTGTGTGGTTGCATCCAACTGTGATAAACCTAAGTATGTCAAGTTTGTGGAGGCCCTTCGTGCCAAACACCAAATCAATCTGATTAAGACTGATGACAACAAGAAAGTAGGAGAATGGGTAGGCCTCTGTAAAATTGACAGAAAGGGGAAACCCTGTAAAGTGGTTGGTTGCAGTTGTGTAGTAGTTAAGGACTATGGCAAGGAATCTCAGACCAAGGATATCATTGAAGAGGACTTGAAATGAAAGAAAGAAAAAGATAATAAAAATTGGCTAGTGAAAAAAGGAATTATTTTATTTAACTTTATTTACTCATTTATTTTTAATTAGACCAGAGAAGGACAGAAAGAGAGAGAGAGAGAGAAAGTGAGACAGCAAGCCGCCAGATCTGGGACTTGAACTGTAGCTGGCCATGTGGAAGTCCAGTGCCCTTAACCACCATGACACCTGCTGTCCCCCAGGTTGGACTTCTAAATCAACTGTCTTAAATACACTGGAAGAGACAAAGGAAACTGGCGACAAAGAACCAAAGGAAACAAGAAGGAAGTCTTACCAAACAGAGAATATCAATAAAGAAATAAAAAATATAAAAGGGGGGAGCGGCAGGTAGTGTGGTGATTAAGGGCACTGGACTCCCACATGGCTGGCCATGGTTTGAGTCCTGGACCTGGCAGCTTGTTGTCTCACTTTCTCTCTCTCTCTCTCTGTCCCTCTCTGGTCAAATTAAAATAAGTAAATAAATAAATTAAATTAAATTAAATAATTCTTTAAAAAAAACATAAAAAGGAATTTTTTTAAAAACTGGAGCTGAAAATTATAACTAAAATGAAAAATTCACTAGGGTTCAACAATAGATTTTACAGACCAAATAAAGAATCAGTAAACTTGAAGATAGGTCAGCTGAAATTACCTAGTCTAAGCAACAACAAAAAAAAGTATCATGAAAAATGAACAGAGCCACAGCCAGCCCTGTAGCCTGGTAGTTAAACGGGCTGGGCTCCATGTGACCAACTGTGCAATTTCAGTCCCAGTCCTGCAGCTTGAAAGTCATGCCAGACATGTGTGAATGCAGGCCCAGAATCCTAAAAGACAGAGGAGAGAAGATTGTGCTGTGAACACACCCCTCTGGGGTGTGCTTTTTTTTCTTTCTATTTCTTTCTCTCTCTGAAAGTGTACATGCCCTTTGGCAATTAAAAAATAAACAAAAAAACAGTGGCTTAAACTCATGCAGGGCGCATGTGTGTACGTGCCCAAGATCCCGAGAGGAGAATGGAGGAGAAGGGATTGCGGTGTGGCCATCTCCCCTGCGGGGTGATTTCTCGCTTTCTGTCTCTCTGTCTCTCTCTGTCTGGCGAGCGCATGCGCCCTATAGCAAAAACCTCTCCAAAAATAAATATATTAACAGTTGATTTATCATCAGAAACTATGGAACCAGAAAACAAAGGATGACATAAAGAACAGAATGAAAAACAACAACAACAACAACACAACAAGAAAATGTATTATCCAAGACTACTGTACAGAGCAAAACTATCCTTCGAAAAAGGATAAATCGAAACATTCCCAGATACACAGAAGCTAAGAGACTTATCACTAATAGACTCATTCTATAAGAGCTGCTAAAAGGAATCCTTCAGGATAAAGTGAAAAGACAATAGATAACATCTCAAAGGCATATGAAGAAAGAATGAGTACTGGTAAATTTAAACTACATAGATTAATATAAATAAGTGATATAAAATTCAGTATTATGTCATTTTTTGTTTATAACTATTCTTTCACTTCTTACGTGATTTAAAAGACAAATTCAGAAGATAATAAGTCAATGTTAATGGGGACACAATGTATAAAGGCATAATTTGTGATAACAGTAACATAAATAGGGAGAGACAGGGCTGAAAAAGAACAGAGTGTTTATATACCATTGAATTGAAATTGGTATTATTTCAAACTAGTCTGTTCTAAATTTGTCACTTATAGGAGCCATCAGGTGGCACCGTGGTTAAGATGCTAGACTCCCAAATGGTTGAACATGGTTTGAACATCAGACTGGGAGGCTTGAAAATCATACCAGGAGCATACACATGCATGCCTTAAAATCCCAAGAGAAGAATGGAGGAGAAGGGACTGCAGTGTGGCCATCCCTCCTGGGGGAATGATTTCTTACTGTCCCTCTCAGTTTCTCTCTCTACCGGCTCTATGGCAAAAATCTTAAAAAAAAAAAAAAAAAAGAGATGTCAATTGTTATCTTTCACTGAAGAGCATTAAAAGTATAGTATATAGAGAAAAAAGGAGCAGGATGGCAAAAGTAAGTTTTTCCTTAGGAGCAATTTACTTTTTTTAAAAAAAGAATTATTGGGAACCAGCAGTTAGTGCAATGGCTATGTCGCTGGACTCCCATGTAGTCGACCGCGGTTTGCGTCCCGGACCTGGTGGCTTAAACTCATGCCGGGCGCGTGTGCATGCGTGCCCAAGATCCCGAGAGGAGAATGGAGGAGAAGGGATTGTGGCGTGACCATCCCCCCTGGGGGGTGATTTCTCGCTTTCTGTCTCATGTCTGTCTCTGTCTGTCTGGCGAGCGCGAAAACCTCTCCAAAAAAAAAAGAATTATTCATTTAATTAATTAATTGATTGATTGATTTAAAATTTGACCAAAGAAAGAGAGGGAAAACGAGAAAGCAAACTGCCAGGTCTGGGACTCAAACTGCTGTTGGCTACGTGGGAGTCCAGCGCACCAACCACCACACCACATGACAGCCCAATGAGTAATTACTTTAAATGTAAATGGGTTAAGTTCTCTTATCAAAAGTCAGTGACTGGGGAGAAGCAATTGGAGTCTGAGGAGTTACACTGTAATCAAACCTAACAGAAAATCCTGGGAAGATTCTTCAGTCACCATGACAACCAACAATGGTGCTTCTTTTTCTTCATATGATGAAGATCAGGGATCCAAACTTACCTGAAAAGCCAAATAGGCATAATTCATCCCCATTGGAATGGTAGGCTTTGCAGCAATGTTGCATACGGATTATACACATTGAGGAGCAGGGGAAATACTAAAATGTCTGTTCACCTGATCTACACGTGTGTGGCAGCCCAAGGCTTTGTTGTAGGAGCAATGATTCTTGGTATGGGCTATTCCATGTATTGGGAATTCTGAGCAAAACCTAGACCTTAGAAGAAGAGATACTAGGGACAGCAGGTGGCATGGTGGTTAAGGTGCTGGATTCCCACATGGTGGATGACGGTTTGAGTCCCAGATCTGGTGGTTTGCTTTCTCACTTTGCCTCTCTTTCTCTCAGGTCAAATTAAAACATAATAATAAATAAATGAAATAAATATATTTTAAAAAGAGAGAGAGAGAGAAAGGTGCTGTCTTGGTCTTATTGGATGTGCTTGCTTTAGTTAGACATCTCCTAATGAGGTTAACAAGTTTGGGTCAAAAACAAATCATTTGGGGAACCAGCAGTTAGCGTAATGGCTATGTCGCTGGACTCCCACGTAGTCGACCGCGGTTCGTGTCCCGGACCCGGTGGCTTAAAACTCACGCAGGGCGCGTGTGCGTGCGTGCCCAAGATCCCGAGAGGACAATGGAAGAGAAGGGATTGCGGCGTGACCGTCCCCCCTGGGGGGTGATTTCTCGCTTTCTGTCTCTATGTCTCTCTCTGTCTGTCTGGCGAGCGCACGCGCCCTACAGTGAAAATCTCTCAAAAAAAAAAAAAAAAAAAAAAACAAAAAAAAAATCATTTGATGGGTTCAAATAATAAGGCATTTTGAATATTGGCCTCCTTCCTCACAGACTTGATTTGCCTGGTGACCAAAACTATTAGTGACCAATTCACTAACTATGTCATTTAGGAAAGTCAAATTAACACAAAAGAAGCCTGTCGCACAAATGCACTCTGTAGTGTTAAAATCTCTACCTTCTTAAACTCTGATGATGAAACTAGAAGACTACGGACTAACCTTGCAGTACTCTCAGACTACTGCAGAATATCTCATGCTTTGGATGTTATATAAGAGTCTTGTTTACCCAGGTTAATTTAACATTTTTTCGTGTGCTTTGGGGACTGGTTGAATACGTCAGTACTTTAGTAGTGGCCAACCATGTGAGATTCTGCTCCCTTAACCACTACACTAGGGACTGGCCCTAATTATTTTTTTTAAAGGTTTTTGCCATGTGGTATGTGCATTCCCTTAAGAGAGAGAGAGAGAGTGAGAAAGTGAGAAATCTGCCCCCACCCCCCAGGGGGGGGATGGCCACAACACTGTGATTTTCCTTATTTTTTTTTTTGGTAGAGGGCACAACACTGTGATTTTCCTTATTTTTTTTTTTTGGTAGAGGTTTTTGCTTCAGGGTGCATGTGCTCACTGGAGAGAGAGAGAGAGAGAGAGAGATGGTGAGATGAAAAGTGAGAAATCACCCGCCCAGGGGGATGGCCATGCAGCAATCCCTTCTCCTCCCAGGATCTTGGGCACACATGCACATGTCCAGGTGTGAGTTTTATGCTACCGGGTCCAGGACTTGAACTGCATTCGGCCAGGTAGGAGTCCAGTGATGTAACTGCTATGCCATCTGCTGGACCTGCCACTATGATTTTCAATCCACTGGGTCCAGGACTCAAACTGTGGTCAGCCTTGAACCAAGGTTGGCCTCGAACCACAGTTGGCCATGTACGAGTCTAATCCCTTAACTACTATGCCACCTGCTAGTTCCTCTAATTAAAAAAAAAAAAGTAAAATATATTGGGTTGGTGGGAAAGTCATGATGCATTTTTACATAGAAAGACATAGATGCATTATGATCTTTCTAATGACCCAGTATTCCGTATGTAAACATTTAAAGTTATTAAAGACCATTCTTGTTAAATGAAAACAAGTGCTATCCATGAAAGCAGACTTAAGCAAAGAGCTGAATAATGCCTATTCAAGAGGACAAAGATCTTTCTCACAATCTTGAACTGAATCATTGAAAAACAATTTCTCGGGACCAGCAGTTAGCATAATGGCTGTGTCGCTGGACTCCCATGTAGTTGACCACGGTTCGCGTCGCGCGCGTGCCAAGATCTCGAGAGGAGCATGGAGGAGAAGGGATTGCGGTGTGGCCATCCCCCCGGAGGGTGATTTCTCGCTTTCTGTCTCTCTGTCTCTCTCTGTCTGTCTGGCGAGCGCATGCACCCTGTAGCAAAACAAAAAAGAAAAAAAACTCTCCAAAAAAAAAAAAGAAAAGAAAAAAAACAAAAAAACAATTTCTCTAGGACAAAAATTCCCAGTAGTAAATTTTTCCATAAAAAAAAAAAAAAAGGAGAGAGAGAGAAAATAAATAAATAAAAAAGTAGAATTCGGGTCAGAAGGTGGTGTGATGGTTGGGGCACTGGACTCCCACATGGCTGACTGCAGTTCAAGTCCCAAACCTGGCAGCTTGCTTTCTCCTTCTCTCTCTCTCTCTAGCTCTGGTAAGTTCCCATGCCCTTTAGCAAATTAAAATAACAACAATAATAATAATAAATAAAATTAAATACATCTTTTTTTAAAAAAAAAAAAAGGCAGAATTCTCTCTCTGCCAGTTGTCTTTTACGCAGGGAGTACTTAGGACAGCTTTAGAGAATGAAAAGAAAATCCACAAGTTCATTCTCAGAAAACAAAAATGTCAATTTAAAAAAAGAAAAAGAAAAAAAAAAGCAGTAAAATATACAAATGATCCCCACAGTAAACTGAGGGGCACATGTGCCTGCCACAGGACCTTGGCTCTCGCTCTTCTCCCCCATAGTCACATGGCTCACTCCCTGCCTTCCTGTGGGTCTTTGCTCATATGTCTCACCTTAGAAGAGGCCTTCCCTGACCACTCTCTCTAGACTAGATCCTTTTTCCCCTCTTCTGCTTCAGCTTTAATCAGAAAGGTTTTGCTACTTAGCATGCTATGTATGAGAGTGTGAGCTCCAAGAGGGCAGGACTTTTGTCTGTTTCCTTCTTAGCTGTGTCTCCAGCACCTAGAACAGGGCCTGACACATAGTAGGAGTCAACAGGTTCCCAAACTCTGTGGAGGCTTTCTCCAGCCAAGCCCCCAAATGGCGGATGAGCAGGGGTAGAGAGAGGGAGAGAGGTGCTCACCTCCACATTCCAGACGTAGGAGCTGTGGAAGAGCTCCGACCACACCTTGCCCACTTTGTTGATGTCCTTGACATCCCAGATGTAGATGCTGTGGTCTTTATACACGCAGGACAGCCACTGGTGGACGGGGTCGAAGGTCAGTGCCACTGTGTCTGGGTAGACTGCTTCTGCTTTCCTGCAGAAGAGGAAGCTGACAAGGCCACATGGATTATCAACTGCCATCAGTGTTGCTGTGAGGAGTGACAGCCACTCTGGTGGCACTGGAGCTGCCTTCTTCCTGGTAATGCCATTCTTCACAGTACTGGGGCCATCCATCATCCTACTGCAACTCCACTCCTTCCTCCTTCCTCTTCCTTTACTTAGTTTCTAATACAGAGGTTGCAAACTAGAAGCCTCTGCCTGGGCCCTGAGAGCCACAGTTTTTATTAATATTTCTCTCCCCTCTTTCCATTCAACCCATGCTCCTGTCCCCTCTCTCTCAGCATAGAAGGATAACAGGAAAACCTCAGATCGCCTCTCTTTTTGGCCTCCCCAACAAATAATCAAAAGCCCTTGTGTTGGGGCCAGCAGATGGCATAGCAGTTACATCGCTGGATTCTCACATGGCCAACTGTGGTTCGAGTACCAGATCCGGCTTGAGACTCACTCTGGGCGTTTGAGTGTGTGTGTGTGTGTGTGTGTGTGTGTGTGTGTGTGCATGCTAAAGATCCCAGAAGGAGGATAGATAGAGAAGGGATTGCAGCAGACGTGGCCATTCTCCCCCAGGGGCTGATTTCTCACTTTCCCTCTCACTGTCTGTCTCTCTTTGCAGTGCACATGCCCTAAAGCAAAAACAAAGAAAAACTCCTAAAAAACAAACAAATAAACAAAACCATTTGTAAGGGTGCTGGGAATATGTCCTCTGGCCTGGGGCCTTCCTAGAGCTTACTGAGCACTTACCATGTGCCAGGCAAAATTAGCTACACTGAGTTCATACAATTGTCACAAGAGATAGGTACTGTATTTTATGAATGGGGAAACTGAAACCTGGGAGGTGTGATGGCCTGCCTCAGGTCACGCAGCATGCAACAGAAGGTGGCACAGTTGGGCAGTCCGGCTATTGCAACTTACCACTGTGTGCAATGTGCTCACCCACTCCCCCTTTCTGCTTCACCATACTCCATCACCTGCTCTAGGCTCTCTCTTAGAAAAGGCACTCAGAAGCTGGTATATAGCAATTTGCACAGAGGCAGCCCCAAGCAGCCAGTGCTATAGATTAACTCCTTCCCTTCCATAAAACAGGCTGACAATAAATGAGAAGATAAGCCACGGCTTAGCACCTCCATGCACTCTCTACAAGGCAGCCATGGGTCAGGGCATCTAACATGCCAGCCCGCCAATGCCTAAAACCCAGTGGCTGCTCACTGACCTTGGACGAAACTACTAGCTCTTCCCACTAGCCTCTTCAGACATGGTCTCCCACCTTCCTCCCCCTGCACACAAGGCTCTAGCCACGGAGCTCCCCCATCCCTACAATATGCCATGCCCTGTGTGTCGTCTCCTAAGGCTTTATACTTGTGTTGGCCCAGCTCTCCACACAGCTGGCTCCACCTCCAGGCACCCTTCTCCGAGTTGCTGCTTTATGGGGGCAGAGATTTTGCTGCCTTGTTTCAACCTTCTCCTGCCTCTAGCCCAGAGCTGGCACTTAATGGCTGCTTAATAAATGCTGGTTGCATGGATGAAAATGTTCTATTACATTCATACCTACTCTGAGGTTTTTTCTTTTCTTTTCTCTTCCTTTTTAAAATTTGCTACAGTACACTGACCAGAGAGATAAGAGAAAGAGAGAGGAAGAAATCACCCTACCATGGGACATGGTTGTGCTGCAATCTCTTCTCTATTTCTCCATCCCATTGGGATTTGGGGCACACATGCATGTGTACCTGCCAGGCCCAGGATTAGAACCACACAGTCAGTCATATGGTATCCAGCTGCCTTAACTACCAGGCTATGGAGCAGGTCTACTCCGAGTTTTTCTCCTGTACTACACTTGCCACTATCTGAAATGATTCTGTCTATTCCTTTCTTTGCCCATGGACTGTCTCTGCCCCACCCAGCCTTGCTTTTCATTCTAGAACTTGCCTTGGGACGATGGGCCTTTTCTGCTTTTTTGACTGTGGTAATGCCTGGGCCAAGGGGAATCATAGGTGTTTGAGGAATGGACAGACAGCACAGACAGATGCCAGACAGACGGACTCAGGGGGTTGGGCCCTTCCCTCCCTCTGGCAGCAGTACCTGGGCTCCAGGCCTTGTGCCACGTCGATCCCCAGGTAGTGCGGCTTGGGCATGTTGGCGAGGTACTGCAGGCTGTGGGCCTGAAAGATGCGGACTATCCCATCTGTGCAGCCACAGAAGATGAGGTCCTGGCTGACACAGAGGCAGGAAGACAGGGAGACCTGTAGGAGCAAAGGGGACCCAAGTGGACCTGGTGCTTCAGGTGGCTGGCTCAGGGACGTGGGGACAGACCGAGCAGCCTGGGGCCTCCAGGGAAGACTTTTAGTCTTTAGATGATGTTTAACTAATCAGGAAAGACAGATCATCTTAGAATTCGTCCACATGCCATTAACCCTAAAGGTCACCTCTAGAGGTGAGTCACAAGAGCAGGCTGGGAAAAGCGAGAACCCTGATGCTCCTGCTGACAGCCAAATGGACAACTGGCCCTCGACACAGGAAGACAGCGTGGCCTCAGACCTCAAATAATGAAGAAAATAAGTTCTGCCTCCTTTAGTTTAAAATCTTAAGTATTTTGTGTAGCCTTTTTTGACTAAATGATTAAGCTGGGGGTACCTTAGGTTAAAAAAAAACAATGCAGCCCTCTCCCCAGCCAAGAGCGCTCAATGAATAAAAGTGTGCACTGGATCAGTGATGAGGAAAGTGCTGCAACCCCGCGTCACAGGCCCAGGCACTGTGCGAACTGCCCTACACACATTACCTCGTGTGACTGCCTTGGCAGCTCTGCGGGAAAGCAGCAGTGATTCCCATTTTACGGATGAGGAGCACAAGGCTCGGAGAGGCCACGAGAACCTGTGTGGTTGACGGCCAGCAAGGACACTGCTGAGCACTGCTAGAGACAACACTGACATAGGAAAAGGGATTTCCCCGGGGCGCAGAGGGACGCAGAGGGAGGCTGCTACCTTCAGGTTGATCCACTTCTCCAGCACCCTCTTCTCGTTGAACTGGCAGAGCAGGCCTGAGTAGGACACGCAGAAGGTATTGCCTGCCATCTGGCCCCGGCCACAGGCCACGCCACAGAAGATATTGTTGTGCAGCTCACCCAGGATGCCTGAGCGCCCCACAAGGGGCACCGTGCCTGTCACCTGGGGGCATAGCAGGACATAGTGAGATACTGTCCACACAGCCTAGCCCCCAGCAGGGTCCTGAGAGGCTCCTCATGACCAATCTGACACAGCTGAAGAGAAGGACTCTAAGAAACCCCTCCAAGTGGAGAAGGAAAGAAAAAACAGAACGCACACATCTAGGCAGAGGACAGGAAGGCAGAGGTCCAAGAACAGGGTTTGGCCCAAGGGCATGGTGAGCCCTGACAGGGCTCCTAGTCAGCACCTGGGGAGCAAGCCTGGAAGCAGAAGTTCAACCCCCAAGAGGCCAGATGCCCTCTGAGGTCACTGTTCCCCAGATCTCAGGCAGAGACTGGAGCTGCTGCTGTCACGGACAGTGACTTCTGGACAGAGGGCTGGATGGCAGTGGTCTAAGAATGAGGGCTGGCCAGGGACAGGAAGAGTCCTTGCAAGACGTGGATGAAGCGGCAGGGGCAGAAGCTCACCTTTGTTTCAGTGGCGGCTTCCAAGAACCAGAACCTCACATGCCGGTTCCCAACGGTAACAAAATAGCTGCTGTCCTCTGAGAAGGAGAGGGCGATGACCCTGCATGATACCTTGTTGGAGGCCACCACGATGTCTTTCTGGAAGAATCAGTACAGAGAAGCTCACGCCAGCACCCGTCCCATCAGACTCCCTATGCCTCTGCCCTCAGCCCTGAGTCACCCTGTGCTCTCCGCTTTGTTTCCCTTGGGCCCTCCAGGGAACTGCTTTACAGGGCAACCTGTGTGTGGCACTCAGCATTCCCAGGCTACAGAAGAGGAAGCTGAGGCCTGGAAAGATCCCCATGCAAGCGTAGAGTTCTCCCAAATGCCCAAGCCCTGCAGCCGACATGGTGATGGGGACAGTCACAGCTGAGGTAAGGACAACACGACTGATGGCTGCCACAGCTGGGGTCTCTGGGCCCCACCCTAAGCCTTTCCTGGATAACCCATGGGATCGCCTCAATAGTCCTATGAGGAAAGTGCAGAGGGGGAATGTCACATGCTCCTCCCAAGGTCGCAGAGCCCGTTATGGGCAGAAACAGGGTTTGGTACCCACTTCCACTGACTCTAAGTTCTTGCCTGGCTGTTCCGAAGTCCAGCCTTCCAGTGCAAATCAACTCATTGAAGTCTCACAATTCAGTGAGGTAGACATTATTATATCCATTTTACAGGCTCAGAGAGGTGAAGTCACTTGCCCAAGGTCATGGCTGGTCAATATAATAATAATTACTACAGTTCCACTGGCTGAGATCTTGTGTGCCCTCCAGCAGGGATCAGTGTACAGTAAGTGCACAGTAAATATTCACTGGATGAATGAGCCTTTACCACATTATCTTTTAGCTGTCCCAATGCCAAAGGCTGGCTACCTGCCCAGATGCCACTGACCGGCTCTCACCTTCCAGTCCCAGACGTTGAGGACCATGTCATGCTGGTAGCCCATGGACACGATGTGTTTCATGTTGGGTGAGAAGGCCACACAGGCCACACCATACTTGTGGCCCAGCATCTCCGCCACCTGACTTTTCTCCTCCACGTCCCAGATGCGCACGGCAGGCCTGTGCCCGTTCTGGGGAAGGTGGAGTGGTTACTGCTGCAGGGCTCCATTCCAGGAGGGCTAGAGGGGCTGTCAGGGCTAGAGAGGGCACTGTCACAGAGTGCACCCAAGACCCATCTCCCCCATCTGCCATGGAGCTTTTCTGGCCCAGGAAGGAATAATTCCAGCAACTCCTAGGCGTACTATGAGCAGCGGGAGGCCTTCAAGACCCTCCCCACCTGCTCGATTGTGATTGTGACTCACCTCCCCCGTCACTATGTACTTCCCATCCGGGGAGAAGGCCAGAGCACTCAGAGACTTCCTGCGGACAAAGAAAGTAGTCGATCCTGGTTCAGTCGCAGATGAAGCCAGTTGGACCCCAGCCTGGCTGTGCTCACAGAGAAATCTGCCCACTCCTGGCTTCCAAGCCTCAGAAAAGGCCAAGAGAAGTGAGCCTGGGCAGCTCCCACAGACCCAGAGCTGCCTGTATGCCCAGCCCAGCTCACAGGAAAATGGGCTGGGCAAAGGCCCCTTCCTCCCTAGAATGCCAAACCCAAGTGGGGTGGGCACTGTAATAGAGACCCCACTTTCTTCTCCCTCTGCAGAACTGAGGGTGGGTCTTTACCCTACCCGCCCTGTAATCCTGAGAAGGTCAAACGCTAGAAATAGAACAGACTTGGCCTAACTAAGGCAGCGGTGCTGATGGGAGGACCTGCAGGCATCACACTGAGATAGTCTGCCGCACAGGCTCCACTGCTCAACACTCACCAAGTTCTAGAAAACCTGCAAACGATCCAAATGTTTCTTTCTGATACCCCTAGCTAGCCTGCACAAAGAATCAATGTTTGCATGTTTTCTGCAAAAAGACTCACTGTTCTGATTGTGTTTTTTTTTTTTTTCTCTCTCTCTCTCCACTCTCTTGTTTTTGAAGTGACAGAGTACATGCATCCACCAGAGCGAAATGAGGAGACAGAGAGAGAGGGAGTGGGAGATGGAGAGGGAGAAAGCACCCTCCAAGGTGGGGATGTCTCACACAGAAATCCCTTCTCCTCCATTTCTCCATCCTGTTGAGATTTTGGAAACACATGCACATGTGCCTGTCATGTTTTTTCAAGCCACTGGGGCTGGGATTCGAACCATGGAAAGCCATGTGGGATCCAACTCCTTTAGCTACCAGGCCATAGGGCTGGCCTGTGATATATGCATATATGTATGTATCAACAGAGGGAATGTGCACTTGCCAGAGAGAGAAAACACAGGGAGAGAGAGGAGAAAGCACTCCACCATGAGAACGGTCAAGTTGGAATCCCTTCTCCCCCATCTTTCCCCCCTTTCAGAAGTTTGGGCATGTGTGCACTTGCAACCGGTGTGTTTCTCAAGCCACTAGGTCTGAGACTTGAACTGTGTGGTTGGTCATGTGAGATCTAGCTGCCTTAATCCCCAGCCATAGAGCTGGCCCAATGTACCCATTTTATGTGTGTGTGTATGTGTGTGTGTGTGTGTGTATGTGTGTGTGTGTGTGTATGTGTGTGTGTGTGTATACTGAGTTTTTGATATAGGGCACATGCACTCACAAGAGAGAGAAAAAGTGAGAAATTACGTTCTCATGGGGATTGCCACGCCAAAATCCCTTTTCCATTCTCTTGGAATTTTGGGCACTCAAGTACACATGCGCAATGTGTTTTTCCTTTTTTTTTAAATTATTTTATTTAATTTTATTTATTCATTCATTTATTTTCATTTGACGAGAGAGAGAGAGAGAGAGAGAGCAAGCAAGCCACCAGGTCTGGGACTCAAACCATGGTCGGCCATGTGGGAGTGTCCAGCATGTGATGGTTACATCACGCCCCCTCTGGTCCCCATGCAATGTGTTTTTCAAACTGCCGAGTCTGGGACTCAACTGCATAGTTGGCCATGTGGGATCCAGCTGTCTTAACTTCCATGCCACCTGCTGGTCCCAGCCAATGTGCTAATTTTAATTTCCTGAGTTTTGTTGGCTATACAGTGGTTTTCAAGGATTATACCATAATCTTTTTTTGTAAGAAATACGCACTATAATATGTTCATAGATGTGTATATATCAGTTTTGCTTGCTATTTAAAGTTTTTAAATTAATTAAGATCTGTAATGAATCAATAAAATGTGGGGGGAAAAGGCATGGAAAACAACTGTAGATACCAGAGACAGTGTGGGAGGAAGGAGGAAATTGGCAGAGTGGGGGAGGTAGAGAATCAAGAGGGGGGAAGAAAAGCAAAATATATAAGGAAAGAGAAATAGAAAATGATTTGTTGATGATAACATGTATGGTTATATCCTTGATTCAGCCAATATACAATGTATTCTAGATAAAAAAATCTTGTTTTGTATACTGTATTGATGTACCGTGAATGAATATAAATAAATAAATTTTTTAAAAAAGAAATACACACTATAGTCTTAAGAGATACAGGGGTAAAACATCTACAGCTTATGCTCAACTAGTTCAGAAAAAACAGTTCATCTCAAATAGTTCAGAAAAAATACGGTAAAGCAAATGTGGCAAAATATTAACATTTGGGAAATATGAATGAAAAGAATACAGGAATCTTTTATACTATTCTTATAAGTCTGAAATCACTTCCATTTAAAAAGTTTAAAATTTGGGCCAGCAGGTGGCATGGTGGTTAAGAAGCTGGATTCCTGAACTGAAGATTCTCTGCCCAGACTTCACCCTCCTGACCCTAACAGCTGGTAGGACAGGCCGATTGCAAGCCATCTACATTTGAGCTCTGAGCAGCCCCTTTCAGGGACTAGATCTAGCAGAGTCAAAGTAATCCTCAATTCCCACGGAATCTGCTGCATAAAAGGAGAAAAGTGTAACTTCAGAGAGATTACAGAACACCTCCTGTACACCTCTGAATGCTCAGATTTAACTCCAAAAATTAGGAAAAGATGTATAATCCATCAGATGACCAGAAACCACCACAAAGGCACAAGAAATATGAGAAGCCAAGAAAATATCTCTCCCCCAAGGGAAAAGAATAACTTCTCATCCTCCATAGACAATACAAAGGAACTCAAGGAAATGTCAGATAAAGAATTGATAATATTTATAGTGACAAACCTAACAGAGATGCAAGAGAGGAGAGACAACAAACTCCAAAAGATGAAGGGGGAAAGAGACGACGAGTTCCATGACGAGTTCCAGGAGGTGAGGAAGTTCTTGTAGGATCTGAAAGAGGGAATATGCTCCTTAAAAAAGAATCAAATGGAATTGCTAGAGATGAAAGCTGTAATACAGGAAATCAAAACCTCCCTTAAAAGTATTTAAAAGCAGGTTAGATCATGTAGAAAATCGAATCTCAAATGTAGGAGACAGAACCTCTGACCTAGAAAAATTCACCAAAATGACTGAGAAAATGCACCCCCCCTCCGAAATTAGAATAATATACAAGAAATGCTGGATACCATTAAATGCCCAAACATCCAGATAATCAGTATCCCAGAAGGTGAAGAAACTAATAAAGGCACTGATAATCTGTTCCATGAAATCCTGGAAGAAAATTTTCCAAACCTAGAGAGGCATTCAAATATCCAGACCCAAGGAATACAAAGGACCCCACATAGAATCAAACCAAGAATATCTTCTCCAAGGCACATCATAGCCAGATTGGTCAAAACCACAGGATACTAAAATTGGCAAAAGAAAAATGTCAAGTTACTTTCAAAGGATATCCCATCAGGCCAACGGGCAAAAGTCTCACTGGAAACAGTGTAAGCAAGGAAAGAATGGGAAAATATATTCAAAGTGTTAAGTGAAAAACAATGTCAACCAAGAATACTGAACCCAGCAAGATAATCCTTTATATGGGAAGAAAAGACAAAAATATTCTCAGATAAACAAAACCTGAAAGAATTTACCAACACCAGACCAGCTCTCCAGAAAGTTCTGAAGGGAGTGCTATACCACAAAAACTAAAGTCAGACACACAGAAATAAGAGTACAAAAAACAAAACAAAACAAAACAAAAACAACAACAACAACAACAAAAAAAACAGTCAAGAGAATGGCCAACTTAATGGTAGAGACAAGTCTGGAAAGATCAATAATAATGTTGAATGGTAATTTCCAAAATTTAAACAGATAGATCAGGCCACAGTAGCACTGCAAATTCAACAGAAGAGAGATTAATTACATGAGACTGAACTGGTGAAATAGAATTTTATGACTTTTGACTAAAACATTACTAATTTTCTTCTAAGTTTTGTTTTATAGATTTTGGGATTTTTGTCTTCTCTTGAACTATTGATAGGTTCATATACCTACAGTTTGAAATGAATCCTAGCCTTTCTCCTGGCTTTAAGCCTTAAGCAAATTTCTCTTAACATTTTTTGATTTTGATATATTAAAACTAAAACTATTTTTCTTGAAATTAAAAAAAAATGCATAAAAAATACTTATTTAATGACTGTAGTAAGCTATACAGCCCCAGTTAGGTGCTACTTTATAGTCTGGTTATTCTACTCACTGAGCTTTATGCCTAAAGTCAGACATGTGTTCATAGATATGTATATATCAACTGCACTTGCTATTGGAAGCATTTAGATTAATTAAGATCTTTTTTTTTTTGGAGAGGTTTTCGCTATAGGGCGCGTGCGCTCGACAGACAGAGAGAGACATAGAGATTGAAAGCAAGAAATCACTCTTCAGAGGGGATGGTCACACCGCAGTCCCTTCTCCTCCATTCTCCTCTCGGGATCTTTGGCACACACGCACGCGCCTGGCGTGAGTTTTAAGCCACCGGGTCCGGGACGCGAACCGTGGTTGACCACATGGTAGTCCAGCTACATAGGCATTACGCTAACTGCTGGTTCCCATAATTAAGATATTTTGTGAATCATTAAAATGTGAAAAAAAAAAAATTAATATGGAAGGGAGGGAAGGAGGGGAAAGGGGAAGGAAAGAAGGGGCAAAAGTATGCTTAGTTGACAAAAAATAAGAAGCTCTTAGCTAAGTATAATATATAGTAATATCCTTGTCTTGACTAACATGCATGGTATTTGTGTTCCTCCCTCTAACCCTCTGTCTCTGGTCAAAGAAAAAAATAAATGAATGAATAAATAAAATAAAATAAATAAGTATTTTAAAAAATAAATAAAAATAAATAAATAAATAAAACCTGCAAACATAAAAAAAAAAAAGAAACAAGAAATGAAAAATTATTTGTTGATGATAACATGTATGGTAATATCCTTGACAGCAATATACAGTGTATTCTGGATGAAAAAAAAATCTCATTTTGTATGTTGTAATGATGTACAATGAATAAATGTAAATAAATAATAATAATAAAAAAGACGCTGGACTCCCAACTCGAACTGCCAACTGCAGTTCAAGTCCCAGACTTGGTGGCTTGAAAATCATGCCAACATGTGTGCATGCATGCCCAACATCCCAGGAGAAGAATGGAGGAAAAGGGACTACAGCACAGCCATCTCCCCTGAGAGGGTGATTTTTCACTTTCTTTTTCTCTGTCTCTGTATCTCTCCAGCAAGCAAATGGGTCCTATGGCAAAAACCTAAAAATAAAAATAATAAATAAGTAAAAAAATATAGTCTGTATGCTACTGGCATGTGAGTGTTGCCTTGAGGATGCTCTTACAACTGGAGGCAGGGATTTCATTTCCAGAGAAGTACAAGGCTCAGAACAAAGTCTCTCAACTGATAAACACTTGAGCCAGGATTAAAACCCAGCTCTGTCCAAAAAGCCACCTCTACAAAGGAATCTCTATCTGCCAAATAAGAGGGACCGGCTATAGTTCAAGGACCACATCTTAGGGACTGCAGTGGAGGGAGAAAAGCCACACTGATATGTCTACCTGGAGAAGCTGCTGAAGCTGCTGAGACTGAGCTATGTCTGGAGTGATGGAGGCTGCCTCCCAGAGGTCAGAGGCCTACTGGGACTATTCACCCAAGCCAACAGTGATTCATCAGCCCCAAAGCAGAGGGTTCCAATCTGGGCCCGCTCATGGCCAAGGGTCTTCCCCAGTAAACTTGCAGCTGGAAGAAGATTTTTCTAAAACCCTAACCACGTTCATTCATTCATTCAGTTGTTCAGGAAACAGCAAGTGCCACCAATGTGCCAGTCACTGCTCTAAATGCTAGAGACACTGGAATGAACTGAGAGAAGGTCCCTGCCCTCAGAGAGCTCACACTGCAGGAGGGAGACAGACCAGGATATCGTCAAGGAGGAAACTAGACAGCATTTCACAAAGGATCACATTCTGTGGAGAGCTGCAGAGCAGGGAAAGGAGAGCATGCTGGGGCCTGGGGGAGTGGAAAGCATATCCCCGGCCTGAGAATACTCTCTGATGGCTTCTCTTTACATTTAATATGAAACGCAGCCCCTCAAGGCTCACGAGGCCCACATGGTGTGGCTCCTGCCTGTTGCAGCCTCACCTCCTGCCCTACTCCCAACACTTGGATTCTTGGCTGCTCCTCAAGCCATCAGGGGTTCTTAAGCTTTTGCGCTTGCGTTGCCCCTGCCTGGAGTACTCTCCTCACCTTCACATGGCTCGCCCCCTTTTCACTGGAGACCTTGTTGAGCCCTCTGATACAGCTTTCCCTCCATTCTCTGCCCACAAGCCTATCCTAACATATCCCCATCATTTCCTGCTTGGAACTAATCAGGATCAGCTAGTAATGTGCTGACTGGGTGTTAGTCGGCCTCCCTAGTGGGCTCTCAGCTAGAGAGCAGAGAGTCTTGTCTCTTGTTCACCACTCTGTCCCCAGCACCTGGAGTAGCCCTGGGCATATAGCAGACCCTTGGTGAGTGCTGCTGAACTGACAGGTCAGGGAAGGAGCGGGTGATCTACCCACAAGAATTTCCAAGCTATGTGAGGAAAGGGGGAGGGACCAAGACCCAGGTCCCATCCCTCTGGAGGCCCAGGCCCCGCCTACCTGGCAGTATTACAGATGTGCTGCTGCTTGTTCTCCTTGGGGTTCAAAATCACCACCACACAGCTGAGGAGAAAGAAGAAAATAAGCCTAAACTGGGGGGAGTACTGGAGTCCACAGGTGATTCTATTCCCAACAGAAAAGCCCACACATAAACAAGTCACCCTTTAAACACAAGATTTTCTTTGTGGCCTCCTCTTCTTCCAGGTATTTATGCTGAGAATTCTGGAGCACTTAAAATTACTATTTTTTTCTTTATTAAGATTTTTTTTTACCAGAGACCAGCAGTTAGTGTAGTGGCTATGTCACTGGACTCCCATGTAGTCAACCGTGGTTCGAGTCCCGGACCCGGTGGCTTAAACTCACGCTGGGCCCGGGCACATGTGTGTGCGTGCCCAAGATCCCGAGAGGAAAAGGAGGAGAAGGGATTGTGGCCAGGTCATCCCTCCTGGGGGCTGATTTCTCGCTTTCTGTCTCTCTGTCTCTCTCTGTCTTTCTGGTGAGCGCACGTGCCCTATAGCAAAAACCTCTCCAAAAAAAGAAAAAGAAAAAAAAAAAAAAGATTTTTAGGGTGTGTGCACTTGCCAGAGGGAGAGGGAGGGAAAAGTGAGAAATCAGCCCTCAGGGAGACGGCCATGCTGCAATCCTTTCTCCTGCCGTAATCCTTTCTCCTGCAGTCTCCTATCAGGATTGGGGGCACATACACACATGTGCCAGTGTGATTTTCAAGCTACTGGGTCTGGAGCTTGAACCGCAGTCAGCCATGTGGGAGCCTAGAGTTGTAACCACTACACCACCTGCTGGCCTCTACATTATGCATACTCTTTTCTAAAAAAAAAAAAAGCAATAATAATTTTCTTTCTTATTATTTTTAAATTGTGCAAAGGGCACATGTACTCATCAGAGAGAGAGAGAGAGAGGGGGAAAGTAAGAAAGCAAGCCACCAGGTCAGGGACTCAAATTGTGGTTGGCCGTGTGGAGCCCAACACTCAAACACTATGCCACCTGCTGGTCCCATTATGTATATTCTTTTTTTTAATTTTTTTTTAGTTTTATATGCATTTAATAGTTTACCAATCGGCTTTATTTTTAATTAAAAAATTATTTAATTTCTTTATTTTAATTTGACCAGAGAGGTACAGAATGAGAGAAAGCGAGAGATAGAAAGTGAGAAAGCAAGACACCAGGTCTAGGACTTGAACTGTGGTCAGCCATGTGGGAGTCCAGCGCCCTTAACCACCACACCACCTGCTGGGCCCCCCATTATGTATATTCTTAAATAGATATTGTCACTTCCTCCACGAAGACTATTCTGGTAGGCTCTCAGCTAAACCTCTTTAAACCCTCAGAACTGCCAGCTGGGGTCAGGTCTCCTTGGGCCCATTTCATAGATGAGGAAACTGAAGGCCAGAGAGAAGTCCTTTGTCCAGGTGACCTAGCAGGTCAGGGATGCAGCAGCTATGTGACTCCACTCCTGTCAGAGTCAAAATTCCACCTCTGTCCTCTATCTTGGACTGCTGCCCGAAGACTCACTAATGGCTACTGTTCAGTGGGACTTACTAGGGGTCTGTCTTGCTGCCTTGCTGGGGATCCCTTCAGTGCCCAGAACAGTGCTAGGCTAGATCAGTGTTTGTGGAATCTACTCCAGTCCTCTCAACTCCCCAAGCAGAAGGTATCACTAGCTCTGTTTTATAGAGGAATACATACAGGGTCAGAGAAGGGCATGAATGATAAAGCTGGGACACAAGACCAGGTTATCTAGCACCGCAGTTTGGGTTCTAACCACCTCTCTCTCCCAGAATTGCTGCCACCTCCCACCCGTAGTCAAAATTTAGTGCACAGGGGACCAGCAGTTAGCGTAATAGCTATGTCGCTGAACTCCCATGTAGCCGACAGTGATTCGCATCCCGGACCCGGTGGTTTAAACTCACGCTGGGCGCATGTGTGTGCATGCCCAAGATCCCGAGAGGAGAATGGAGAAGGGATTGCGGCATGGCCATCCCCTTTGGGCGGTGATTTCTCACTTTCTGTGTCTCTGTCTATCTGGCGAGCGCACGCGCCCTATAGCAAAAACCTCTCAAAAAAAAAAAAAATTAGTGCTCACTATATGCCAGGCACTATACTAGACGCAGATGAGCCTGTGAGTCCTCTCCACGGCCCTCGGAGGTAGGCATTATCCACATTCTACACATGGGAAAGAAGAGGCCCAGAAAGATTCACTGAGGACTTCCGGCTCCAAGTTCCCTAGCAATGCTAAGGAATGCCAACCATTCACTTACCCTGCCAGGTAGGCCACGTGGCCTGTGCTAGGGTCACAGGTTAGGCCACTACTGTTCTGGGCTGTGATGCCAAGCACCTTCTCGAGTGACACCTGCAAAGAGAAGGCCCAAGTCAGAAGCACCTGCCCCCACAGGTCCCACATGGCAAGGTCGCCTTGGCCACCCACTCAGTTCCTGCTGCATTTAATGCACACACACCCCACTGAGCTGTTGTAGTCAGGCTACCGGCCAGGAGCCACCATTTATTCTTCTCAACATTCCTTGACAAATGCATAGGGCCAGGGCCTGGAAGGTGAAGGACATAGAATGGTAAGGAAGCCCGATAAAAACTTTGCCTTCCTGGCTCATGTTCTGGTGGTGCAGGGGATGGAGGAATGGAAACGGAACAGAAGAAATATGTAAATTAAATGATAGGTAAAGATAAGAGCAATTAAAAAAAAATAAAGCAAGACAGGAGGTTAGGAGGACAAGAGAAGCGGAAAAATACAGAAGCAAGGAAGTGACCTTTGGGACCAGCAGTTGGTTGCTATAGGGCGCTTGTGCTCACCAGACAGACAGAGAAAGACAGAGAGACAGAAAGCGAGAAATTACCCCCCCAGGGGGATGGCCACGCCGCAATCCTTTCTCCTCCATTCTCCTCCTGGAATCTTGGGCACACACGCATATGCGCCCAGCGCGAGTTTAAGCCACCGGGTCCGGGACGCGAACCGCGGTTGACTACATGGGAATCCAGCGACATAGCCATTACGCTAACTAGGCTCCCATGTAGTCGACCATGGTTTGAGTCCCAGACCTGGTGGCTTAAACTAACGCCGGGCGTGTGTGCATGCATGCCCAAGATCCCAAGAGGAGAACAGAGAAGGGATTATGGTGGCTTTCTGTCTCTGTTTCTGTTTGTCTTTCTGGCAAGCGCATGCACCCTATAGCAAAAACCCCTGGGGGAAAAAAAAAAAGGTGACCTTTGAATAAGTTTCTAAGTACTTTTTTAGAAAAAAATATTTACTTAGGGACCAGCAGGTGGTATAATGGTTACATGGCTGGATTTCCACATGGTGACTGTGGTTTGAGTCCCAGACCTGCTGTCTTGAAACTCAGGCTGGGTGTGCGTGTGCCCAAAACCCCGAAAGGAGAATTAAAGAGAAGGAGCTGTGGCATGGCCATCCTCCCTGGAGGGTGATTTCTCACTTTCTGTCTCTCTAGTGAGCACACGTGCTCTACATCAAAAATCCTTCTTGGGACCAGCAGTTAGCGTGATGGCTATGTTGCTGGATTCCCATGTAGTCGACCATGATTTGAGTCCCAGACCTGGTGGCTTAAACTCATGCCGGGCACTTGTGCATGCGTGCCCAAAATCCTGAGAAGAGAATGGAGGAGAAGGGATTGCGGTGTGGTCATCCCCCCTGGGGAGTGATTTCTTGCTTTCTGTCTCTCTATCTCTCTCTGTCTCTCTGGTAAGTGCACGTGCCCTGTAGCCAAAACCTCTACAAAAAAAAAAAAAGGATTTATTATTATTTTAAATATTTTTAAATTAATTAATTTTTTAGAATTATTTTATTTAACTTTATTAATTAATTTTATTTGACCAGAGAGGGACAGAGAGAGAGAGAGGAAAAGTGAGAAAGCAAGACACCAGGTCCTGGGACTTGAACTGAGGTTGGCCATGTGGGAGTCCAACACCTTAACCACCATGCCACCTGCTAGCCTCATATTTTTTCATTATTTTAAAAGTTTGCTATAGGGCATGTGTGCTCACTAGAGGGAAGGTAAGAAAGCAAGCCACCAGGTCCAGAACTTGAACCACAGCCAGCCATGTGGGAGTCCAGCACCTTAACCACCATGTCACCTGCTAGCCCCAGTACTTTTTTTTTAATTGCCAGTGGTACATGTGTACTCACCAGAAAAGAAAGATAAAATGCCCCCAATGGGCATGGTCCCACTACAATCCTTTTCCCTCCATTCCTTCTTCCTGTCAGGATTTTGAGTATGCACGCACACATATCCAGCATGTCTTTCAAGTCAGAGTTCAAACCACAGTCAGCTGTGTGGGATCCAGGTCCTAAGAAACAGTGCTTAACTGCTGTGCTATGGGGCTGGCCTTCTAAGAACTTTTACATGGATGAAAGATGAATTCCCGCAACCACCCAAGGAAGAAGGCATTATTATCACCCCTATTTCACAGATAAGGACATTGAGGCCTAGGCAATCTGGATCTAAAGCCAGCACTTTTGGTCCTATAGGGGAGACAGCAGCGAGCAAAAGTAGACACTGTTCCTTCATCAAATTTACAGGCTACAAGTTTCAACAAGTAAAGAAACAAGTGAATAATCACATTTAAAACTGTAAAAACTGGGCCAACTCTGTAGCATGGTGGTAATGTGCCATTCAAGAGAAGCCAGATTCGGGACCAGCAGTTGGCGTAATGGCTATGTCACTGGATTCCCATGTAGTCGACCGCGGTTCGCGTCCCGGACCCGGTGACTTAAACTCGCGCTGGGCGCATGTGCGTGTATGCCCAAGATTCCAGGAGGAGAATGGAGGAGAAAGGATTGCGGCGTGGCCATCCCCCTGGCGGGGTAATTTCTCGCTTTCTGTCTCTCTGTCTTTCTCTGTCTGTCTGGCGAGCACAAGCGCCCTATAGCAAAAACCTCTAAAAAAAAAAAAGAAAAAGAAAAAAGAGAGAGAGAGAGAGAAGCCAGATTCCACATAGCAGCAGGGTTAAAATCCTAGTCTGGTCAGCCTGCAATGTACTGGGCACACACATGAGTGCCCAAGAGCCAGTGGACTACAAGAAAGGGATTGTAGATGACCAGACCCTGGGGAGGGTGCTCATTTCTCTCTCTCTGTTTTTCATGTACACATGCATGGGCTCTATCATGAATAAGGGAAAAAAAATTGGGGGCTAGCAGATAGTATGGAGGTTAAGGCACTGGATCCCACATGGCTGACTGCATGGTTCTTGTCCTAGACTCATGGAAAATTACACCAGGTGTGTGTATGCCCAAAACCCTAAGGGGAGGCTTGAAGGAGAAGGGATTGTGGTGTGACTATCCCCTGGTGGGTAATTTCTCACTTTCCTTTTTATTTTTTTGGAGAGAGAGATTTTTGCTTTAGGATGCATGCCCTCACCGGAGAGACAGAAAGTGAGAAATCACTCCTCAGGAAGATGGCCACACCGCAATCCCTTCTCCATTCTCCTCTTGAGACTTTGGACACACATGCACACATTCCCGGCATGAGTTTTAAGTTGCTGGGTCCAGGATTTGAGCCACAGTTGACGTGAGAGTCCAGCGATGTAACCATTATGTCATCTGCTGGTCCCTCTTCTTCTCTCTCTCTCTGGCTAGCGCACATGTCCTAAAACAAAACTAAAGAAAGAAATTTGAAAAATATTATAAAAAACTCAAAGCAAAATAAATCAAACGGGCCAGACTCCATTCACAGTTGATTAAATAATTTATGTAGAGTATGTTTTATGTATTATCAGATTTTTAAAAATTTAATTAATTTTCTCCCCTACAGGGCACATATGCTCTCTGCAGAGACAGAGAGAGGGAAAGTGAGAAAACACCTCTCATGGAGGTGATCATGCTGTAATCCCTTCTCCATCTCTTCCTCCACAGGGCTCTTGAGTACACATGCACATGGGCCCAGTGTGTGTTCTTTTTCTTTTTAAAAGAATTATTTTATTTAACTATATTTATTTAGAGGGACAGAGCAAGAATGAGAGAGAAAGAGAGAGAGGGAAAGTGAGAAAGTAAGCCTCCAGGTCCAAGACTCAAACCGCATTTGCCCATGTGGGAGTCCAGTGCCCTTAACCTCCACGCCACCACCTGACCCCCTCACCCCCCCAGCATATTTTTCAAGCTTCAGGTTCAGGACTCAAATTGCAGGGTCAGTCACGTGGGATCCAGCCACCTCAACTACTGTGTCACTAGCTGCCCCCAAAATTGTGGCATTTTTGTATTTTGAAGAAACTAGTTGTTTGGAGAGGTTTTTGCTAAAGGGCGCATGCGCTTGCCAGAAAGACAGAGACAGAAAGCAAGAAATCACCCCCTGGGGGGACGGCCATGCTGCAATCCCTTCTCCTCCATTCTCTCTGGATCTTGGGCACACACGCACACATGCTTGGTGTGAATTTAAGCCACCAGGTCCGGGACTCGAACCGTGGTCGACTACATGGGAGTCCACTGACATAGCCATTATGCCAATTGCTGGTCCTCAAGCAAGTCCTTGACCTCAGAATTGAAAGCTGAATAAAGGATAACAACAGTTAATGTTTATTGAACATTTACCAGAGCCAGGCACTGTTCAAATACCTACAACTGTACTGCTTTATTTACTTACTTGTAAACTTAATTATTTTTTGGAGATATTTTTGCTATAAGTGCATGCACTCACCAGAGAGACAGAGAGAGAGAAAGTGAGGAAATTATTCCTCAGGGGAGATGGCCATGCAACAATCCCTTTTCCTCCATCCACGCACATACACCTGGCATAAGTGTCAAGCTCCTGTATGGGGGACTCAAAGAATGTTCAACCACATGGGAGTCCAGCACCCTAACTATTATGTCACCTGCTGGCCCCTGTATTGATTTATTTCATGCTCACAATAACACTATGATATAGTTACTTGTCATCATCATGATCTTCATCTACAGATGAGGAAATAGAGGTTCAGAGGGGTTGCCCACACAGGAGCCGGGCAAGGATTCTACCACAGACAATCCAGCCATGATATTCATGTTGTTCACTCCATCAGACAGCGTTACTGAGCATTAGTATAACTGGTCATTTTTAGACTAGGTTTTTTTGCAAGCCAGATGGAGTCTGTGCTGATAAACAAGTAAAATAAATAAATGACATTTATCTAAAATGCACAACAATAATGACAGCATTAGCTAATACTAACAAGAGTTCCTGCTATGTACCAGGTGTGTTTTAAATGCTAAAGATAACTAAGCTTGGTACCAGCAGATGGCGTAATGGTTACATCGCTGGACTCTCAAGTAGCTGACCATGGTCTGAGTTCCAGATGTGGTGGCTTAAACTCACGCCGGGCGTGTTTGTGTGCATGCCCAAGATCCCGAGAGGAGAATGGAGGAGAAGGGATTGCTGCGTGGCCATTCCCCTGGGGGGTAATTTCTTGCTTTCTGTATCTCTGTCTCTTTCTGGCGAGCGCACGCGCCACATAGCAAAAACAAACAAACAAGCAAACAAACCAAAAAAAAACCTCACACTTGGGCGCATGTACATACAGGCCCAAAATCCCAAGAGAATGGAGAAGAAGGGATTGCAGCATGGCAATCCTGGGAGGCCATCCCCCCGGGGGGTGATTTCTCGCTTTCTGTCTCTCTCTCTCTCTGTCTGGCGAGTGCACGCGCCCTATAGCAAATAAACAAACAAACAGCCTCTCCAAAAAAAACCTTTTTTTTTTTCTAAGCTCATTTAATCCTCACAAACACCCTGTGCGGGATTCCTACATTATTATTCTCTTTTAATTTTTTTTCCAGGATGAAATCATCATTATTCTCACTAACAGATGAGGAAATTGGGGCCCAGAAGAGCTCATAACCTGCTAGAATAGAATTAAGGTTTAAACTCAAGAAGTATGCCTCTGAATTTGCTATTGATATACTCCCACAAACGCAGTGTAAGAGCTCATATGCACTTGAAGAATACACGAAATAAGGGCTATGAAGTACAGGCCCTGGGTGAGACTAGGTGGATGTCTGCCTTAGACTGGACTTCAGGAAGGCATCACGGTAGGGATGAATATTCAAGCTGAGACTTGAGGGATGGAAAGGAGCCAACCAGGTAGACTGCAGGTAAAAACTCAGGCAGAGGAATCACCAAATACAAAAGTTGGGAAACAGAAAAGAACTTGGAATCTCAGGAAAACAGAAAGCAAGACAATGTGACTGAACCTTGATGACAGGACATGGGAAGTACTGCCAGACAGGCGGGCAGGAGTCACTAGTCCAGAGTCCTGCAGCCCGAAGTGGGTAATATACCATAAATCAGCAGGCAGCATTAATGCACAGAGCAGACAGGAAATACCAGCAGCTGTATATATACACTTTCGGACAGGAAAAGTGGGAGGGGCACGGGATAAAGGGGCGGGACCTGGGACAAGAGGCGTGGCCCGGGAGCAACCAGAGGGGACTAGGTGAGGTCTGATGGGCGGGACCAAGGATTTGTGGGCGGGACCAGGGGCGGCCCAGCGAAGCCGGGAACTGGAGTAGGACGAGCAGCTCCTCACCCGGTTCTGCACCGTGTCCTCGGGCGCCGGCGGTAGTCGCGTCCGCCGCCGCAGGCAGAGAGGTGGGGCCGGGGGCGGGGAGGGCAGACCCCCCCCGGCCC